CTGCACCATTTAAGGTGGAACGGAGAATTCCAGTACAGCGTAGGTGAAAATAAGGAAAATGCATGAGCAAGTGAGTCAGAAGCAACACTATAAAAGCATAACAATATTGATATATATCTCATATGATGTTGATTGCACCACATAAGAGACAGATGCATGCCAATGCAAGTAATACAGCCTCATGTTGTGGCGTGAAGGAATACACGGGGGATGCACACGGCCAGACTGACATGGACGGATTAGAGCAACACAATGGCAATGGAAATGGAAATGGAGCGCGTGAGAGGGAGGGAGGGAGGGAGGGAGGGAAGAGATGGGGGGACATGAACGTGGGAGAGATGGAGATGGAGAGTGGGGGAAGGGTGGAGGGGAAAAAGAGAGACATGCACTGACTCACATATGTGAGTGTATCTGGGAGAAAAAAAGGGAAAAGAAGGAGAAAATTCTATTATGTATGCAAGACTTGCCTGGTGAGTGTTGTTAAAGCAAGAAAATGGTTCTTAAAAGGCCCTTAAATGCAGCCATGCTAAGCTGTAGCCATGCAAGCCCTCTTCTTGCCAGTAACCCCAAATGGGATTCATGCAGATTCTTTGCAGCCAAGCCTGATTTTTGTATTATCGTGATAGCAGTGGGCTAGCGCTGGACGATACATCGTTTGTGAACCGGTATCGTGATATTGGATCTTGCGATATCGCAAAAGGCATATGCAAATGCATAATGGTGCAGATCTTTAACCGTTGATGTGAGGAGAAAAATTTAATTATTATATAATACATTGTTCACAAAATGTCCAGCATTTTAAATTTACAGTGACGGTTTCCTAGTTGCTTATCTTCTGGGTTATTTTGCAAGGACTCTTATTTTAAAGGTGGGAAAGCCTGTTTTGGGGTTCTCTGCTGCTGACCGCCAAATGAGCAACATGTAGCTAAGCCTAGAGTTAATTGTTAGCAACCAAGCCTGATTTTTGCAGCATTGTAACAGCAGCACGATATCGTTTGAGAACCGTTATCGCGTTATTGACTCTTGCAATATTGCAAAAGGCATTTGCAAATGCATAGAAGTGCAGATCTTTAAACATATTTAATTATTATATAAGATGTTGTAGCATGTTCACAAAATGTTCGGCATGTTAAATTTACAGTGATGGTTTTCTAGTGTTTATCATCTGTGTTATTTTGCAAGGACTTTTATTTTGAAGGCGGGAAAGTCTGTTTCTTGGTCGTCTTAGAGGTAGGCAGTCTGCTACGACCACCAAATAAGCAACACGTAGCTAAGCCTAGAGCGAATTGTTAGCAACCAAGCTTGATTTTTGCAGCATTGTAACAGCAGCACGATATCGTTTGAGAACCGTTATCACGATATTGGATCATGCGATATCACAAAAGGCATTTGCAAATGCATAATAGTGCAGATCTTTAACCATCGAGATGAGCAGAAAAATGTAATTTTTATATAATATATTGTACGTGTTCACAAAATGTACGTATTAAATTTGCAGTGATGGTTTCCTGGTTGTTTATTTTCTGGGTTATTTTACAGGGACTTTTATTTTGAAGGGGGGAAAGACTGTTTCTGGGTTCTCTTAGAGGTACCCAGTCTGCTGCTGACTGCCAGATGAGCAACACATAGCTAAGCCTAGAGCGAATTGTTAGCAACCAAGCTTGGTTTTTTGCAGCATTGTAATAGCAGCACGATATTGTTTGTGAACCGTTCTTGCAATATCGGTTCTTGCAATATCGGTTCTTGCAATATCGCAGAAGGCATATGCAAATGTACAAAAGTGCAGATCTTTAACCTTCGAGGTTCACTAGCAGGAGAAAAATATTTGTTATATAATACATTGTAGTGGGTTCACAAAATGTTAAGTATGTTAGATTTACAAAGATGTTTTTCTAGCATTTATCTTCTGGGTAATTTTTGAAGGCAGGATAGCCTGTTTCTGCTGCTGACCACCAGATGAGGAACACTCTCATGTGAGAGTCATCTTCAATAGCGTAGTGTAGCGTACAATAATGTGTAATAGTGCAGATCTTTAACCTTCGAGGTGCTATTGGTGACTATTGACTTCCAGTGTTTGTTAGCACGGTTAGCCTAGCAGCGCCACTTCTAAACTAAAGAAGCAAAATTTGGACAACAAACATGCCTCAGCTGATTGACTGCATTTCAGTGAGTGTGAAGTCATGTACATTAGATTTGTCGCCAAACTATTCCTTTAAAGCAGCACGATGAACGACTTTTTTGTTAAATTTAATAACAGGCTAAAATATGGTGAGGGTGCTCTGCCACGAGTCGCCCAGTAAAGACTGAAATAGTCATTTAAAGTCAGAGGCGTCGAGTCAGGAGTTTTTCACACTACGTCGTACGTCTTTACGCATTAACATCACACACAGACTCAAAAAGAAGGTCCAGCTTAATGTTTGGGCCTCAAATGATCTCAGAATCAACATCATGCTGATGAAGATTTGATGGCAATAGTAGATAATTCACTCACATCCTCAGAAGACGCTCCTTCACCAAGTTTAGACGGAGATCTCTTTGAATTCTCGTTCAGTCATCAGACTTACCTGCTCATGGAAGGGGTCCCAATCAATCACAGCCCACGCTACAATGTGTTCTTCCACATGTGCAGTTACACATTTCCACCAGAGAGGTCTCCAAATCCCCAAAACTTAGTGTAGCTTTAACATATTTCAAGGCAACATGTAGCAATATATTCCCACTATGGTATGCTGTCCTTACCACACAGCCCTATAAGCAGCTGAGCTCTAAAATTCAAACTATGCTTACTTTTGTATTGCAAAAAAAGACCTCATACTGTACTGATGTGTAAATGATGTATGAAGCCATCTATCTGAGCAGTAAGCACAACTCACACTACATCCAAGACAACTTGTAGCGTAATTAAACCTCAAATGTAGATGGAATTAAATCAATTTCTAATAGACGCACTAGAATATCTCTCATTAAAGGGGAGTTATTAAAGTTATTACATAAAATGGTTATGAATTCACTGCCTGATGACTGAGGAATTTTTTAAAAAGCTTAAAACATGTATTTTATTGTATAAAAACATGTATTCTAAATCCAATTATGGTGGAGGGATACATGCAGGGCGCTGTGAGGCAAAAATAGTCCCCAAAGAAAAGTTATTATTTCAGATTTTCCACTATTTTCCATCATCAACATTCCATACAAACTCAGAAGACTCATGTAGGTTCACTGGTGGTTTTGGATAGTAAATAAAATGTCTATATTTGTGTTGTAGTCATGGCGACTCCTGGTTCCTATCACCACCACTGTAAAGACATCTGAACCATTTCACACCAAACCACTCTGAACGATGACTCAATGACTGAATTATACAGAGATTTTGGAAAATCAGTGGACTTCTCCTTCGACACCAGACTCACATCAGATTTCCAGGAAACACCAACACATTTTTATGAAGCACTGTCAATCTTTGGTGCTTCTTTGCAGAATCTCGGTGAAAGACTATATAATATTTGCATGATTTAGACAAAATACTCGCACAAAAATTCAATTATTTCCAAATTTATTACAGAGTCGCACGTCTGAGTCCGCCTCCAAAAGCCTCAGCGTTCAGAATATTTTGGTCACTGGTGAATAATTCAGCGCTCTGACCATAAAAACATTTAAAATACATAGTGCATTATTAATTCATGCGCAGTCCATTCTGACAAGTTTTAATGTACAACAGTACATTAAAAGATCAAATACATCTGATGATCCATTTAAAATTGCACTTAAATATTTTAATATTATTAGACTCTGAAAAAAATAAGAAATATTGTAAACAATTATAAGATTCTGATATCATCCACGATGAACAGACAGCAGGTGACAGTCTTACAAAGACTTTGTGCTGCTGTTTTTTGTAGACTTTCAGAAATTAAAGCCAACTTAGTCTCTAAAATTCATATATGCAAAAATTTGTGACTTTCTAAGTGAAAATAAGTCGACACATCTCCAACAGAGAACACACTGCTGCACATTTTACTGCACAGTTACTGTATAGTTGCTGAATTTGACATATTGGGGGACAAACGTAAGCATGAAACATGTCCTGTGCAAAAGTTATGGCACATTTAGGCCCAATCCTATTTCACCCCTCACCCCTCCCACTTAGCCCCACCCCTCAGTTTTGTGCATTCATGTCTAGGGGTAGGGTGTCCCAATTCTTGTTGAGATAGAGGGGTAGGGTGAAGTGTTAGAGCTAGTGCAGTGAAACACCCACATACATGCACACTAGTGAACACACACACTAGGGGCAGTGAGCACACTTGCCCGGAGCGGTGGGCAGCCCTATCCACAGCGCCCGGGGAGCAGTTGGGTGTTAGGTGTTTTGCTCAAGGGCACTTCAGTCACATACTTTCGGCTGAGGGGATTGAACTGGCGACCTTCCGGTCACAAGGCTGGTTCCCTAAAATTTAGCCAACGACTGCCATGTAGATGGTTCCTAGCAGAGGATGGTTTCGATCCATCGACCTCTGGGTTATGGGCCCAGCACGCTTCCGCTGCGCCACTCTGCTAGCAGTAGACCCCAGATGGCACTTGAACCCACAATCCCTGGCTTAGGCCAGTGCCTTATCCATGGACACTGGGGCTCATAAAAGTAATCTGAAGGGGACGGAGCAAGCTTCTCTTCCATCTCCCTGTTCTAAAAATCAATTTAATATGTAGTCCTCATATCGAGGACTGATAAGAACAGATACTACACTCGATCTTAGCCAAAAGGCCAAGAAGCGATATCTCGGTAGCTAGTTGGCTAAATTTCCCGTTCCACCTTAAATGGTGCAGCAGTTCTGATGCCTAAGTTGGCCATTTAAGGTGGAATGGGAAAATTTAGAACAAGAGTCCGGCGAATATCTGACTTCAGCTTCATATCACTGAAGAATAGGGGTGGGTGATAATAAATAATTGCCCCCCTCTTTGAAGGCATATGATGCCCTAAATGTAACTAAAGCCCAGCAGTGAGGAGCTGAACTTTACCCTCCTCTGCTGTCACTGCAGACTGGCAGGGTCGCCTACAGAGCAGCGCTGGTAGCTGTTAATGAAGTGATGCTCTTTTTATTTGAGGGTCCCATTTCAGAGGGAAGATTTCAATGACTACCCCAGTAACTCAGACGCTCAAAAACAAGGGGTAGGGGTAAAAATAAGAAATGGGATTGGGCCTTTTCTTTTCTCCCCAGTATGCTGAACTCACAAAAATAGAAACTGCATTTTGATTAAAAAATGATAATAAATCATTAAGTTGCATGTAGTTTGACCAGGGATACTAAAACATTTGCACATGACTGTAAAGGTGGATTAATGCATCTCTAGAAGGCATGTTAGACGATAGGGGGGGTAGAAGGTGGGGTGGCAGTTTTACGTAGAGGAAGTTTTAGACTATTCCCTTGCCACCCCCCCAGTTAAGCCCTGAGGATGTGTATCATACAGACTGCACCTCTGACTACAGTCATCACTGAGTTACACAGTAGGGAACTGTACAGCACATACGATCTGATAAAAGCCGTTGTCCGTTTTTGGAGCGCCGTTGACACAAAGGTATAACTTGTCCACCTCCAGCTTTCCGAAGTTGATGTCTTTAGCCAGTTTGATGGCCCCCACATCTTCAAACATCCTATCGGTCTCCTCGCCCTCTACTTTGGCCAGCGTGAGGTGGTAGTTGGGGCATTTGGAGTGGCGGTGGAGCCAGCCTTTCTCCCTGAAGGCCTCCTGGAGCGGGGTGTTGATGCTTTGGACATCCTGGACGGGCCGCGGTGGAAGGAAAAGGACCTTCCCGTTGAAGTGCTTGAGCTTGAGTGGGAAAAAGACAGAGATGGGTGGTTTGTAGAAGTCTTTCACGATGGAACGGAGGAGTTCGGCTGCGGCCTGAACCTCCGCCGGGCCCGGGAGAACCAGGAGAGAGAGAGTGACGTGCAGGGTGGCCGGGTTGACCCAGAATTCCTCCGACTGGGGCAGGTGGGTCAGGATCTTCCTCTGGACGCGCTGGAAGGCCATAAGAGCTGCGGGGGAGTCCACGCGGAAGCAAACGAAATGCGTAGGCTTGCGAGACGGCCTGCCAGGCTGTGGTTCCTGAGGGACGGGCTGGGTTTCCTTCTCCTCCTCCTCCTCCTCCTCCCAGTCTTTCCATTCCTCCACCGGTGCAATCTGTTCAACTCTTGGAGAGACTGATAGCGCCTCGGCATCTCGGGCCAGCCTGGCATCTCCGAAGTCTTCATCCTTCGGGCCATTCGCGCCACAGTCTGCTGCATCTTCAGGATCACTGAGATCCGAGATCTGCTCCTTCTTCTTGGTTTGGGATTCGTCTACGTCTTGTGTCGTATCCTGAGCGCCGCCCTCTGTGGATTGTGTTATTTTATTGATAACACCAAAGGAAACAAACGAGACATTAAGGATGAATATTAGAAGACATTATTATGTCATCAAACACATTAAATGTGCATCTCTTACCAAGATGATTAGATAGAGTGGACTGGGTTATGTAACACTAATGAATTAGATCAAGCTGTAATATGACCTCAGCTATTTCCCCATGAAGCATTTCTGGACGCGCTTGAAAGCCTTTCTAACTTTCCATTTTTTGGCCCTCAGCTATTGAGCAGCAGGTGTGGTTCCACTGATTTCACAACATTTCTGCGGAGTTCAATCCTGACAGTCGCCATCGGGGCCCGGGAGACGGGTGAGAGCCACATAATGTAAAATTAATTTTTCCCAATTAATTTTGGACCATTTCTGTTGGTCCATTCATAGTGAAATTTTAAGACAAGGCAAAGGGTAACTGGACTTCTCAAATTATGAAAAAAAAACAAAAAACAAAAACTGACAACCTCACCTTGACCTTGATCCTCCTGATCAAAAGGGGGCAGCACTGTCTGTCCTGTGGATCCAAACACCCGGTCAGTGCGGCTGTCTCTGTCCCATACACGCTGCCCTTTATAGCTGAAATACTGGATCCTGTGACGAGGAATGGTCAGTTCCTCTGAATAATCACAGTCACATACCTGTAAAGGACAACAAACACAGAAACATGGCAAATGAAACTAATTCCCAACTGACAGAAAAAACATGACGCTGGTCTGAGTGGATCAGACACAGCAGTGCTGCTGGAGTTTTTAAACACTGTGTCCACTCACTGTCCACTCTATTAGACACTCCTACCTTGTCGCTCCACCTTGTTGATGTAAAGTCAGAGACGATAGGTCATCTGCTGCTGCACAGTTTGTGTTGGTCATCCTCTAGTCCTTCATCAGTGGTCACAGGACGCTGTTGGCTGGATATTTTTGGTTGGTGGACTATTCTCAGTCCAGCAGTGACACTGAGGTGTTTAAAAACTCCAGCAGCACTGCTGTGTCTGATCCACTCAGACCAGCACAACACGCACTAACACACCACCAGCACGTCAGTGTTACTGCAGTGCTGAGAATGACCCACCACCCAAATAGTAGCTGCTCTGTGAGGGTCTATGGGGGTCCTGACCACTGAAGAACGGGGTAAAAGGGGGCTAACAAAGTATGCAGAGAAACAGATGGACTACAGTCTGTAACTGTAGAACTACAAAGTGCACCTATATAGTAAGTGGAGCAGATAAAGTGGACAGTGAGTGGTGTACATCGATATAACTGTACCTGAGTGTCCCAGGAGAAATCGGAGAAGGGGCGCTCCAGAACCCCCAGAAATCGGTCCAGGTGGCCCACCACAAAGTCTGCCGGGTCCACAGAGGAGTCCCACAAGATCCGGGAGATGACATCATCAGCAGTGCGCATGCGGGGCTTCTTCTCCGACTCTTGGGGCAGTAAAAAGAAGAAAGAGAAGGAAAAGCAGACCTCCAGGACATTAATGAGGTCACAGCTAAAAAGACATGGAAACTAATTGGCTGTGTTTACATGCAAAGATTTTTGACAATCCGATTGAACACATTCAGATTATAGATTAAGACTGAGGTGTTTATTCTCACTCTACTCAACAATCTGATGGAAAATCTCTGTTTACATGAACTCTACAAGTAATCAGATCCAAAATTATGCGCATACGTAGAGCACCACTTAGTGTAGACGTTACCATGACAACCAGCATCACATGAGTCCAGTCAGAGTGAGATGAGCAGCAGTGAGCAGTGCTTGTGTTTTTAATTGCTTTAAAATGATGTCAGACTCAGGAAAACGTCCTTCACATATAAACTTTCACTATGACGTGACGAACATGATCAGAACGGACTTAAACTTTCCGATAGGGAATGTAATCAGATACAGGCGTTTACACGGATATTATTCTTCTATTTAACAGATTATTTACAGGATTACCCACCTCGATCAATTAGATAGAAACTGTATTCTGAATGGCCTCAATCAGACTAGTCTATTCAGATGTGTTTACATGGACATATTCTATTCCAATTGAGCTATCAGTTGGATAATTAACAGGTTATTATGCTTATGTTATTATGCTGCATGTAAACATGGCTACTGATACTAAACACTGCTGTTACCTTTTATCTCCCCGTCTTTGGCCTTTTCAGCTCTGCCGGACTTTTTTCTGGTCTTGCGGTTTTTGCTGCCTTTCTCTTCTGCTTGTACAGGTTTACAGTCAGCTAATCCAGATGCACTGCATTCATATAGAGGAAACAGAACATCATCATTATATCATTTACAGTCATGTGCAAAATTTGGGGCACTCCTGATTATTCCACATTTTTGTTGATTTTCTGATTAAAAATAACACTTAAAAATAACAGCACATCCTCTTCAGAGAACACAGTTAAATATGGCATTTTTATGCCACTCTTAGTCGAGAGTTTCTATTTATTTGCTTAATTTGACGTATTTTAAATTTTAAAATGTGCCATTACTTTTGCACAGGTCACATTTTATATTCCATTTTTTTGTGTTTAATTTTCTAAGAGGAACACAATAAGCAAACCTGTCTGTCATTTATTTTCACTCAAAGACGCCCACATTATACAGTGGTGTGCAAAAGTTTGGACGCCCCTTGATAAAAAGATTGTTTTTGTTGCTTTTATAAGTGGGAAAAAAGTTAACACCCCCCCCCTACAGAGAACACACTTCTGCACATTTTAATGCACAATTACTGTTTATTTAATACATTTAACACACTGGAAAAAATAAATAAATAAAATGTGGCATTTATTTTTCCAATGTGTTAAACACAGCAAATAAATAGAAACTGCGCAGAAAAATATCATATTTAAAATTTAAGAAACTCTTTCGTTTTCAAAAAAAGCAAGAAAATTTCAGCTTTCCATTAAATATTGATGCCCATTCATTTATGTTTAACTACAAGTACTAGAAAATTATAAGGTACCACAAAACTAGAACATTCAAACATAAAATCTAAAATTAGATCAAAACTATATAAAATTTTTCCCGCTGGTCAGACCCTACAACACACCAGACAGGTACCCTTAACCCTTTCAGCGCTTTCTGGACACAATAAAGCAGGAAACTCTGCCACCTGCTGTCTGAAATCCCTCCAGTCCACACAAACACAATGCTGCCCTTGCAGATTTAGCTTTGACTGACGCCCGTTACCATGGTTACCTAGTTGCCCCGCCCCAAGACAGACTCACACACCTGTGGGACAGTCGACACCTTTCTCCGAAATGACACCGGCCCATCAGGAAGAACCTGCAGACGTCCGGTCCATCAGAGTCCAGTTTAGTCTCGTCTGATTCTGAGAGAGAGAGAGAGAGAGAGAGAGAGAGAGAGAGAGAGAGAGAGAGAGAGAGAGAGAGAGAGAGAGAGAGAGAAGTAGAGAGAGAGATAGAGAGAGAGAGAAAGAGAGAGAAGTAGAGAGAGAGAGAGAAAAGTAGAGAGAGAGTGCAAGAGAGACAGAGTAGAGTGAGAGAGAGAGAGAGAGAGAGAGAGAGAGAGAAGTAGAGAGAGAGAATGAGACAAAGAGAGAGAGAGAGAGACGAAGAGGGAGAGAGAAGTTGATAGAAACAGAGAGTAAAGTGAGAGAGAAAGAGAGAGAAGGAGAGAGAGTAAAGTGAGAGAGAAAGAGAAGTAGAGAGAGAGAGAGAGAAGTAGAGAGAGAGCGTGCAAGAGAGACAGAGAGAGAGAGAGAGAGAGAGAGAGAGAAAAAGCACATTTTATATTTTATCTGTTTTCCAATATGTTAATTTCAGTAAATAAACAGTAAAAGTGCATTAAAACATGCAGTGTTTTCACTTATTTTCACTTAGAAAATCATCAGTAACAATTTGTCCAGGGGCACCCAAACTTTTGCACACCGCTGTATGAAGGACGTGGGCGTCTTTGAGTGGAAGTCAATGACAGGTTTGCTTACTTTGTAACTCATTTTCTCTTAGAAAATAAAATATAAAATGTGGCCTGTAAAAAAATTATGGCATTTAAAATTTGTTCCCCCCCCAAATATGTTCAATTCAGCAAATAAACAGAGAAGACGTGGGCGTGTTCGAGTGGAATGTCTCTCGCAAGCAAACGGCAGCCTGTGCCTTTCAGTCCCACTCAAACTCCACTGTAAGCAGGACGGATGATTCACACCGTGTAACACAAACAAACTGTTAAACTTCATACAGTTTACTGACTCAGCGACGACAAAGACCGATAACACGCCCCTCTGTAACCACCGGGCACTGAAACACAGTCAGACTGAAGCAAATCTACTCTCTCTTACAGCCTCCGAGCGCCGCGGTCACTTTAACACACTGCAGCAGGCAATAAAGCTGTTTTCACACCCAGCAAAGATGGACATAAACCATTAAAACACCACTGAACCTTTAAAACTCCTGCATAATTCAGTTTTTAAGATGTGAACCAAGTTGTAAAAGGAACCACAATTAAAAAGATGGTTCCTCAAGGGTTCTTTAGCAAAGAAAATGGTTCTATATAGAACCATGAACACTCAAAGAACCCTTTGCATGATTAAAGAGTTCTTCAGATTGATGGAGAACGTGTCGTACATGAAAAGGGTTGAAAAGGGTTCTATATAGCACCAAAAAGGGTTCTTCTACTGTAACAAGCTTGACATCATAATAATAGAAGAACGCCTTTTGGTGCTATACAGAACCATGTACAACACATTCTCCATCACTCTAAGAACTATTTCATCATGCAAAGTACTCTTTAAGCACAAACTGGTTCTACATAGAACTCATCTGGATCTAAATAGACCATTTCCTTTACTAAAGAACCCTTAAAGAACCATCTTTTTTAAGTGTGTAGTGTTAAAGCATAGATAGCTCCAGTACACTCTTAAAAAAGATGGTTCTTCAATTGTTCTTTAGTAAATGCAATAGTTCTATATAGAACCATGAGTTCTATATAGAACCATTTCATGCTTAAGTGTTTTTTGCATGATGAAATAGTTCTTCAGATAGATGGAGAATGTGCTGTGTATGGTTCTATTGGGAACTTTTTTGAGAATGGTTCTATATAGCACCAAAAAGGGTTCTTACACTGTTACGATGTCAAGCTTGTAATAGCAGAACCCTTTTGGTGCTATATAGAACAATATACAACACATTCTCCATTAATTTGAAGAACCGTTTTACTATGCAAAGAACCCTTAAATCGTGCAAAAGGTTCTTTGAGTGTTTACGGTTCTATATAGAACTATTTTCTTTACTAAAGAACCCTTACAGAGAAACATTTCGTTATAGAAACTTAGAGCTGTTCACAGTGGTGGTGATAGGAACCAGACGTCCACCTCTAACCGTTTTTGGTGCGATATAGTACCATATACAACACATTCTCCATCAGTCTGAAGAACCATTTTGTCATGCAAAGAACCATGGGTATTGCCAAGGGTTGTTCAAATGTTAATGGTTCTATATAGAAGCATTTTCTTTGCTGAGAAACCCTTGAAGAACCACTATTTTTAAAAGTGTGCAGAAATGTATGCAACTGTTTACAGTGGTAGTGATAGGAACCAGACGTCCACCTCTAAAAGCTCCCTCACAGAAAGTTACTACATGAAATGGTTATGAATTGTTTTATGATGGTTTCTGGTCTTTTTAGAATCACATTAGTAGCAGTTGGGCTAAATGCAAGGTGTTGTGAGGCAAAACAGAACCAAAAAAACACTTTTTTATTTTCCAATATTTTTCCATCATCAACATCCCATATAAACTCAAAGGACACCTGTAGGTTCACTGGTGGTTCTGGATAGTAAATAAAATGTCTATATTTGTGTTGTAGTCATGGCGACCCCTGGTTCCTATCACCACCACTGTAAAGACATCTGAACCATTTCACACCAAACCACTCTGAATCACTCTGCTTACATCTCACACACTGAACTAGGCACAAATTTTAAACAGTTGGTGGATATCCCCTTCAAAAGCTAAGTGGTTCTTCTAATTCAGCTTCACATACTGTATCATTATTTAGGCCAAAGAAAAATACAGGAGGCGCCCTTTACTTATCTGTGTCAGTGAATGTCTTCCAGTATCAAACTCTATTAACCTAAATAAAGTTATTACACATTACACACATTCCTTTTTAAAGGAATATCTGGAGGCCAACCGAATGTCATAATAAAAGTCCGTAATGAAATACCTGCTTGTGCTTCTGGTCCTCCCGTGAGGGGTTTCCCTGATCCTTCTCCTTCAGCACACGCCATGACAGATGATTTATTTTGGGAAGTCTCAGATACGACTGCCAGAGCTGACCTAGATCCACATAAACAGATGTTACTTCTCATAAAAGTCCCAATACTGTTAACAGCTCACAGATTTGGTCTACTTATAAGTGAACTTAGACATTCTCGCTTATTCTCTAGACCACACAGCATTAAAAAGCAGTAGAAAAAAGCCGCCGTAGCTGAAAAAATGGATTACAAAGATAAAAAAGTTAGAAAAGTGTGAAGCACTTCTACGATGCCACGAGGCTGAATTTAATCGCCAGCTTCTTGTCAGAATTCTCCGTTCCACCTTAAATAGTAGTAGTTACATTCTGACGAACATGCGCCAGAACGTAGCCGCTGCACGATTTAAGGTGGAACGGAAAATTACAGTTCAGCTTCCTTACAATGGCTGTGAATGCTGTGAAAGGCAACACAGCATACAACTAAGTAGGCTAACTAATAGTTATTGGGTTAAGTAATAGTTTTAAAAATAACTAAAGCCACTTCGTTATGTTAAAAAAAAACAACATAAGTAAGTAACACGAGAAAGTTATAAAATCAGATGTCTTGCTCACCTTAATGGACAAACCGAACAAGTAATGAGGAAGTTAGTGTGAGGTAGCTACGAGCTCCAGAGGGATATTTCACTATGACATCATCTTGGAGACCCATCACGTGTTTTACCCTGTTTGAAGAAGTGAATCATAACCATAACCACACTGAGTCATACTAGGTGGAGGAGAATATGAAGATTTTATGAGGCTGTTAAACGCTGTAAAGCTAATAACAACACTGGACTTTGGTGGTCTACAGTGAAAAAGTGCAGAAAATCGGATTTCTTTCCATTAACGCACTAATTAGCTGCATAGAGAAGCCAACAATACAGATCAAATACGGATATTCATATATTTATGTATACGAAATAACAAATGTGACAAGATTAACTAAAATAAAAATAGATAAAATAAAATGAGCGCTTTTAATTTGTATTTTATTTACTTACTGGGTTACCGGGAGCGCTCTCCCGACGATATTCACATGGTGCTTATGGGACTTGTAGTTTGTTCCTGAACAGCATTCCGGTGACATCTCGATGGATTATTTGATTATTGGAAGCCAGAATGTTTATTTCTGTTCATAACAGCGTCATGTTGTTATGAACAGAAATAAACAAAGCCCCATAGCGTTTATTGTATCGATTATTAAACAATATAATATATTTTATATATTAATTTACATATATGTAAAATAACACACACAACAAAAATAAAACGAAATAAACGCTTTTAATGTGTGGTTTAGTTACCAACCGGGCTACCGGAAGAGCGTTCGATATTCACATGGTGGTTGTGGGACTTGTAGTTTTTTTCCTAAAACAAACTATCTCGACGGATTATTCAATTATGTAGAGCCAAAATAGCTTAAATATCACCAAATTGTGAGTGACGAACAAATAAAGATGCAAATTATGCACATTATCGCGATAAAATAAACGCGATGCAGCTATGTTTATTCCTGGCACGTCACGTTGTTATGGACAGAGCGCGTGACTCTCCGTCACGTGACAGACGAACAGCGATGGGGTGACTAAAAGGAGGATTTTGTGAGCGGCGTAAACATTAAACTCCGGAAAAGATGATAACAGTGAGAGGAATGGAGTGAAATGTAGATGGGCTGCGAGTTATTAACATTAACAGTGATCGTGAGACGGAATAATTAGCTGTAGGTGCTGTTAGTGTGTTTATTAACGCTGCTTCAGTCATAGTCAGTGTCGTTAACTAACTTAGCATAGCTGACTGAGCTGCAGTTTAACCTGCGAGGCTGTTACTCTGTGTTGCGTTATAATGCCTTATTACCGCTAAACAGATCACCAGTCTTGTTTCTCTGGCATCTGCGGGCTGTCAATAACGGTGAGTACACTTCATTAAGTCCACCTCCTTGTTTCTACACTCACTGTCCATTTTATCAGCTCCACTGACCATATAGTTTCACTTTGTAGTTCTACAATTAGACTGTAGTCCATCTGTTTCTCTGCCTACTCTGTTACCCTGTTCTTCAGTGGTCAGGACCCCCACAGGACCACCACAGAGCAGGCATTATTTGGGTGGTGGGTCATTCTCAGCAGTGACACTGACGTGGTGGTGGTATGTTAGTGTGTGTTGTGCTGGTCTGAGTGGATCAGACACAGCAGTGCTGCTGGAGTTTTTAAACACCTCAGTGTCGCCGAGGTTCTCCTTTTCCAGAGTACAATAAATACATCACGAAATGTTGGTCAAATCTAAATATCTGTTCAGTTATTCACGTCCCTTGTTTAATGTGAATGTTTGAGCTGTACGGTTTGATCAGTTTTTGATCAGAAATGTCTTCAGATTTGTGCTCAGGCAAGTCCAGAAACCATTTGGACCAAAAGAAATGAAAATATGGACGTTAATGGGTTTAAGTAACTGAATTTTATTTAACATTTATCTGTTCTGAAATGAGGCACGATGTATGAAAATGCCTCCATGGAAACCAGTTAATGACCAAGTGGACGGATTTTTCTGATTGAAACAAAGAGTATACACTCACTGGCCACTTTATTAGAAACGCCCACCCTCTACTTGTACTCACTGTCCACTATATTAGAAACACCCACGCTGTACTTCTACTCACTGGCCACTTTTTTAGAAACACCCACCCTCTACTTGTACTCACTGTCCACTGTATTAGAAACACCCACGCTGTACTTCTACTCGTTGGCCACTTTATTAGAAACATCCACCCTCAACTTCTACTCACGGGCCACTTTATTAGAAACACCCACCCTCTACTTCTACTCACTGGCCACTTTATTAGAAACATCCACCCTCTACTTCTGCTCACTGGCCACTTTATTAGAAACATCCACCCTCTACTTCTACTCACTGTCCACTTTATTAGAAACACCCACTCTCTATTTCTGCTCACGGGCCACTTTATTAGAAACACCCACGCTGTACTTCTACTCACTGGCCACTTTATTAGAAACACCCACCCTCTACTTCTACTCACTGGCCACTTTATTAGAAACACCTACCTTATAGCCCCACTCTATCTGTGTACAGTTGCAGACTTTAGCTCAGGTATTCACTTCAGCTCTGTCTGTTTCCAGATGAACGCTTTAGTCGCTCTTTGTCACTTCTGTGAGCTCCATGGGCCTCGGACGCTGTTCTGTACCGAAGCCGTCCACCCTCCATCCCCATCGCCCCCGCAGCCCGGCTCCGCTCTGCTGTGTGACCAAGGAGAGCGAGATGGAGAGGGACTGACCATGAGGGCCAACAGCTCCGCTACGCAGAGAGCCGACATGTGTGAGGTGAGTGGCTGTAAACAGCTGATGTGCAGTAAACTGTGAAGAAATGTAGAAAATCCGTGTAATTCCCCTTTAATGATGGCCTTTGCTTCTTTCTTTCTCTCTCTCTCTCTCCCTCTCTCTCTCTCTCTCTCTCTCTCTCAGGGCTGTCGCTCTCTCCCTGCGTCTCATCCTGGTTTTGTCAGTGTTGACTCAGAGACTGGGATTCGTTTCCTCAGCCATCAGCACCCGCGGCAGCCTCAGCTCTTCAGCATGGTGCGGCAGGCGTGCGTACGCAGCCTCAGCTGTGAGGTAATTGGCCTCTATTTGTATTATGTTACAGCTATATGGGCGTACAAAAAAAAAAAGCTTCATCAGGATGTATTTATTGCTTTTAGTAATTCAGTATCATTATTTTCATTGTGTACATTCAAACACTGAACATGAAAATCAGGTGCATGTTCCAACCAATGAGTGTACATATCAAGTGTATCATATATACAGTTGAGGAGTGTGTATGTCATATATATCATATATATACGCAATGATTGCATATGTCATATATTTCACGTAGACAGTCAATGGGTGTATATGTCATATGTACACCGATCAGGCATAACATTCTGACCACCTCCTTGTTTCTACGCTCATTGTCCATTTTATCTGCTCCACTTACTATATAGGTGCACTTTGTAGTTCTACAGTTACAGACTGTAGTCCATCTGTTTCTCTGCATACTTTGTTACCCTGTTCTTCAGTGGTCAGGACCCCCATGGACCCTCACAGAGCAGGTACTATTTGGGTGGTGGATCATTCTCAGCACTGCAGTAACACTGACGTGCTGGTGGTATGTTAGTGTGTGTTGTGCTGGTACGAGTGGATCAGACACAGCAGTGCTGCTGGAGTTTTTAAACTCTGTGTCCACTCACTGTCCACTCTATTAGACACTCCTACCTTGTCAGTCCACCTTGTAGATGTAAAGTCAGAGACGATAGCTCATCTGCTGCTGCACAGTTTGTGTTGGTCATCCTCTAGTCCTTCATCAGTGGTCACAGGACGCTGCCCACAGGACGCTGTTGGCTGGATATTTTTGGTTGATGGACTATTCTCAGTCCAGCAGCGACACTGAGGTGTTTAAAAACTCCAGCAGCACTGCTGTGTCTGATCCACTCAGACCAGCACAACACACACTAACACACCACCACCACGTTACTGCAGTGCTGAGAATGATCCACCACCCAAATAGTACCTGCTCTGTGAGGGTCCATGGGGGTCCTGACCACTGAAGAACAGGGTAAAAGGGGGCTAACAAAGTATCAGAGAAACAGATGGACTACAGTCTGTAACTGTAGAACTACAAAGTGCACCTATATAGTAAGTGGAGCTGATAAAATGGACAATGAGCAGAGAAACAAGGAGGTGGTCATAATGTTATGCCTGATCAGTGTATAGGTATACAGTCAATGAACGTAAATATCATATGTACAGTGAATGAGTGTATATGTCATGTATATCATATGTTTTCTTATATAGTCAATGAGCATATATATTATGTATCATATATACAGTCAAAGAGTATATATATCATGTAAACAGTCAATGAGTGCATATATGATATGTTATGTACACAGTCAATAAGTGTTTATAACATATATTTAATTAAGAAGAATATATACAGTCAGTGAGTGTATATATTATATATATCATATATACAGTCAGTGGTTCAGCTCCTCTGTGATTGTAGCTTGTCACTCTCGTTCATACAGCTTGTTTGAGCTGTTGAGTCGAAGAGTCAGACTAGAAAAATATGTTAACAGCGTTGAAAAATTAGTGGTGCTGGTAATTTACTGTGTTAGCACATTATTAAGTTGATAACGTCTTTTCCTGTGTCCTGTACAGGTGTGTCCAGGCAGGGAAGGACCCATCTTCTTTGGGGACGAACAGCATGGCTTTGTGTTCTCACACACATTCTTCATCAAAGACAGCCTGGCGCGAGGTTTCCAGCGCTGGTACAGTATCGTGATGGTGGCCATGGACAGAATTTACCTCATTAACTCCTGGCCTTTCCTGCTGCGCCACCTTAAACTCACCATCCAGAGTCTACAGAGCACTGCACTAAAGGTACTGCACTACAGCTCCCAATGATACAACAGAAACCGTATCACCCCCTACACTTCCTGTAGTGTATTACAGTCTGTCAGAGTGACTGTGTGGATCATATGAACATTATAGAGGCTTTTTAAATGAAACAGTAGAAGCCACATCGCCCCCTACACTTCCTGTAGTGTATTGCAGTCTGTCAGAATGACTGTGTGGATCATATGAACATTATAGAGGCTTTTTAAATGAAACAGTAGAAGCCATATCGCCCCCTACACTTCCTGTAGTGTATTACAGTCTGTCAGAATGACTGTGTGGATCATATGAACATTATAGAGGCTTTTTAAATGAAACAGTAGAAGCCATATCGCCCCCTACACTTCCTGTAGTGTATTACAGTCTGTCAGAATGACTGTGTGGATCATATGAACCCAGCATAGGGTGTAAGTGTCTGAGGCAGATGTTGACTGACCTTCTGATCTCTCTGTGTGGCCTGCAGGTGTTTGACACCGAACAAGGCGTGTGTCCTCAGAGAGCCGTTCGGATGAACAGCGCATTCTCACCTGCGGTGTTTCCTCACCAGCGCAGCGGGAACGCCGCCCGCTCTCTGACCTCCCTCACCCAGCACCCCAACCTGTGGGCCAGCCTGCACGCCTCGTTCAGCTGGTATAATACATGCACACACACGCACAAACTTTCTGTATAAGCCCCTTGCCTTACCTCATCTCCCTTAGCAAAACCTCTCCCAACATTAAAACAAAATCAGGGATGGGTATTGAGAACTGGTACTAAATTGGTAGCAGTTCCTGACTGGTCGGTACCAAAAGATCACTAAGCTTCTGGACAAACAGTGCTGCTATTGGTATTTATCTGTGTTAAATCATCCTGCACAGCTGGCATTTTCAATGGTTGGTGCTAGATTGGTTCAGCAGGAGGCGCCACGTGCTCCATGTGATAAAAGCGTTTGCCTCTGACTACTTGACCATTTCGAATACCTGTCATTCTGTGCTCTCATGCTGGCTGAAAGGGTCAGACGTTCAAAGGTGTGGGCTCACTTACTAAATTCAATGATAATGCAGCTAAATGCAATACATGTAGCGGTAGTTGTGTCTAAAACACCAGTAAAATGAAACTTACAAATACAACACGCTATAAATTTGAAACAGTGCAGCATGTTTGCTTTAGCAGAGCAGCTGCTGCACCTACATCCTCAGCGCGGCCTCCCGATTTTGTGACAAATTGTGCTGCCTTATTGAAATAACCAACTGTAGCGCACGTTTTTAGGTAGCCCCTACATAAAACTCTTGGTAGGATATTTTGATAGCTTATTTGATCACCTTATCAGGAGTACTACCGGCAAACATATTTTACTGCCTTTGCTGGATCTGTTATGGCTTTGTTATTTCATTTTATATAACAGTTAGTTCTGGCCACGCAAGCTGATTGGTTGAGAAGCGTTCTAACGTTTTTTTTCACAAACACTGTATCACTCCGCTGAGACACTGTTGCTAAGCAACGACTTTGACAGCTGTAGGAGACGCTCAAGACATTTGAACGTTTTTACTTCTTACTTTGCCACAAACAGAAAACGGACACTTTTAAGATCACATTTGACCGACAGCCGATTTAGTCAGACTCTGAAGATGAGACGACACTAAATTCCCAAACTGTCATCACCACTGAGCAGCTTTTCAGTCGGCAGCTGTGACAGAAGAACAGCTAAACAACCTGGAATTAGCCAGAAATGAACCCAACACCATTCGCCAAACTAAATGGGCTGTAAGATGCTTTACAGACTGGCTGGAACAAAACAACATTAATACTGATCTGGCAAAAACTGACAAAACTGAGCTGAACTTGATATTGCGGCAGTTTTATGGCTCAGTCTGATTTGGTCAGACTCTGAAGATCAGACTACACGTTTGGCGAATGGTATTGGGTTCATTTCTGGCTGATTCCAGGTTGTTTAGCTGTTCTTCTGTCACAGCTGCTGACTGAAAAGCTGCTCAGTGGTGATGACAGTTTGGGAGTTTAGTGTAAGGAGCTGGAGAACGAACTGCCGGCTGTGCAGCGAGTGGACACCTTTAAGATCACATTAGACCGACATCGTGTTATTTCGCGATAACACACTCCCTCTTGTGTTCTATTTCTTAAACAAACCTCGAACTTTAAGTTGCCAACCAAAATGCTGGCTGCGTGATTGTGACGTCATCAGAATACTATCAGTAGATTCGTCTGTACAGTCACTGCTGTGACCTGGAAAAGCTGCAGCGTTCACTCACGTGTGACCAACTTTAGTTTATATCTCCATAATTCTTACTTAGCATGCAGCAGGCTGTGTGTATGATATACATGACCGCGTATCAAAAAACTAAATACAACTGGCTGAAATTTGAATGTTTGCTGTTTCTTGGCAACGAAGTTTTTTCTTTGACTATAGGAATGATATGTTATTCAGTACCTACTAAAATCTCCTCAAACATATTTGTTTAGCCAGCTATGGGTCATGAAATGATGATCAGTGATGGAATAATGAAGATGTTCTGGTTTTAGCATTAGCATGTTGTCGTAATGCAAAAACGGAGAAAACTATTGATTTATGCGAGAAAATGCAAAAACACTGTACATTTGCAGGATGTGGGTTTTTGTTGAGACAGCTCTTTTACATAGATTCCATTTGACAGCTGCAGTTATTATCGCATAAACTTTTTTCTGTAAACAGCTCCAGTAGATCTTCGTAACCCACATTCACCTCCAGAGAACGCTGCGCGCTTAATTTCTGCTGTTCGTATTTGTTTTTTCTCATGTTTTTAAAGCCAGGTTTGCGTTTTTTTGGTAGCATCTTCATTTGAATTAAAACCAAAAGTGTCGCTCTTCTTACAGAATGCGACTGGACTAAACCACGGGCCGTTTACACGGGGGCATTGCTGCTGGTACTACATCTAAAGCATCTTTAATTTTTATTCAATGAACGAAATTAGGATTGGTTACTGTATGTTCAGAATGCCACTGCTAGGATCGTCACCTTTTCAAAGAAGGATGATCACATCACCTCTGTCCTTCAGAGTCTTCACTGGTTACCCGTTACATTCCGTGTTCAGTACAAGGTTCTCCTTATTACATATAAAGCTTTGCTTGGTCTCGTTCCTCAATATTTGACTGAGCTTCTTCGTCTATATGTCCCATCTCGTACTTTGAGATCACAGAATTTAGGCCTTCTTCATGTTCAAAGGTTTAAATTGACTTCTATGGGTGGGCGATCATTTAGTGTAGTGGCTCCCAAATTTTGGAATACTCTCCCCAGTCTGTTCGGGATCCCTCTGCTCCATCTTCATTTAAATCTCTTTTAAAGACTTAGTTGTTTTCGCTGTGTTATCGTTGTTCCGTTTATACATGAATGTTTACCTGCATTGTCCATTTGTTGTTAATTGTTTAATGTGTTCACATTCTTTGACTGTAAAGCGTCCAGAACATGGGAAAGGAGCTATATAAATAATAATAATCAGTAAGCCAAACCAAATATTTGTCTCTTAGAATGGTAATTATTCCACCCTTACAGTGCCCATCCACTGTAATTTCATTGTTTGTTCAGCAATAGGGGTGGAAATCGCTGACCTCACAACAATTAGACTGCATTTTTTAAGGAAATTATTCAATACTTTATTAAAATTACACTGTGATTCAGTTTCTTTTAAATAAACAGACTACGTAAATATGTCTGGAGTAGAGTAGTTCAGTATAGACAGTAAAACCAATACACCAATTTTTTTTGTTCGTATTTGACCGTAGCCCAAAAAACCAGCGCATCCTTTATTAAATATTATTATAATCGCTTACAAAAACATAACGCTTAAATACTAGGGTTGCACCGATATAGGAACTGTGGGCCGATGCTGCTATCCAGCATCTTTTACATGTCAATATCTGCTGATACCCCTGCATAAACATTTATAATATAGATATTGGGACTGAATCCACCTGAATTAACATTACAAAAATGTGACATTTATTTCTGTAGAGTTAAATGCAGTAAAATTAATAATGTAGACATATTGTAGCGCAGTAGCCCAGCGTTACCTAAACATTCTGCTCTTCCAGAGTTCAATAAATACGTCATCAAATATCAATTTAAAGTATTTTTCCAATCTAAATGTCGCTCTGATTTCCTCCGTTCAGCAGTCTTGGTCAAACTGAGCCCCCACATGACCTGATTTGTGCTGTGTGCCGCGTTCTTTCTCACTTTCTATGTAATTTGTTTTCTCTGCAGGTTGCTGAAGGCTTGCGGGAGCCGACTGACTGAGAAGCTTCTAGAAGGAGCTCCTACTGAAGATACACTCGTTCTCATCGAAAGACAAACAGGTAAAAATTAATGTTAGAATGATTATAATTGATTATAATAATATTCAAAGAAGACTGCGCTCAGTTTTTGACCGTAAAAAAATTATCAGACTATTTTCAAAATAGTTTTGTACTATGTCTTTGTGTATCCAGTGTATTTTTAAATGTGCCAAAATAATTGAACTGAATTAAATTTGAGATTTCATGATGTGCCACATTTGAAGAATTTGAGATTTCATGATGTACCAAATTCAGTGAATCTACGACATCATGTTATGCCAAATTTGACAAATTCGAGATTTTATGATGTAACAAATTTGATGAATTTGAGATTTCATAATGTACCAAAGTTGGTGAATTTAAGACATCATAATGTGCCAAATTTGAAGAATTTCAGATTTCATGATGTGCCAAATTTAATGAATGTTAAATTCATGATGTGCCAGATTTGGCAAAATTTGAGATTTCATGATGTACCAGATTTAATGAATTTTAAATTTCATGATGTGCCAAATTTGATGAATTAGACATGTCATGAAGTTCCAGATTTGATGAACTTGAGATTTCATGATGCGCCAAATTTGTTGAATTTGAGATTTCATGATGTGCCAAATTTAATGAATTTCATATTTCATGATGTGCCAGATTTGATGAATTAGACATGTAATGAAGTTCCAGATTTGATGAATTAGACATGTAATGAAGTTCCAGATTTGATGAACTTGAGATTTCATGATGTGCCAAATTTGTTCAATTTGAGATTTCATGATGTACCAGATTTATTGAATTTCATATTTCATGATGTGCCAGATTTAATGAATTTCAGATTTCATGACGTGCCAGATTTAATTAATTTTAAATTTCATGAAGTTCCAGATTTGATGAACTTGAGATTTCATGATGTGCCAAATTTGTTGAATTTGAGATTTCATGATGTGCGAGATTTGATGAATTTGAGATTTCATGATGTGCCAGATTTAATGAATTTCATATTTCATGATGTGCCAGATTTGATGAATTAGACATGTCATGAAGTTCCAGATTTGATGAACCTGAGATTTCATGATGTGCCAAATTTGTTGAATTTGAGATTTCATGATGTGCCAAATTTGATGAATTTTAAGACATAATGATGTGCCAAATTTGATGAATTTTAAGACATAATGATGTGCCAAATTTGAAGAATTTGAGATTTTACGGTGTACCAAATTTAAAGAACCTGAGATTTCATGATGTGCCAAATTTGACATGATAAGAAATGCTTGCGCAACATTAATATCTACACATGCGGTGTGTCCAAAATCCTGAATTTTCCTGGAACAGTTTGCAGAGTGAGGCTCTTTGTAAACAACAGAGGCAGCTTTTAGTCACATGCTGTAACGACAGTATTGATTTGTTTGGGTGAGTTAGTAGGAATAATGTGATTGGCAGGTCAGGATAATGATTTCCTGAAGCTGCTGACCTACTTTTCCCCCAGCATGTGGCTCTACTGTCATAACAGTTAAATAAGTTATTCTTTTCTGCCTCCCAAATTCTTTGTGACAATGCTGACCCAACTCAGTTAACTGGAATTTCTTGGTAAAATCTAATTCAGATGCTTTCAGAGCGATCCTGAAGTTGTGGAGAAGTCTTTTTATAGTACGGGTGTGTTCTTCTTGTACAGCTGGCAAAATCCGGATGATAACAATACAATTCTAACATGGGCTGACTGGTAAAAATCCATATGAAGTTGAACTAAACTAGTGATTTAATGAATCAGATGATTCAAAAGATGCTGCTGGTGTTCTCAGAACAATGGACTGACCACCCCAGTGTCCAAACGTCAGTACAATTCAATTTGTTTGGGATTACTTGGAATGAGAAGCAGAAAATACAAAACCAACTTCTAAGACTGAACTTTGGAGATGTTGAAGACTTCTTAAATCTCTGAAATATATATATTTAATTATATATATAATTGTTGAGTCTGCTGCATTATTTTCTGTTAAAATATAATTTCTGCTTTTGTTTCTCAAAATGAATAACTTGAACTTAATGTCCATTTTGGCTGGAAATTAAATAAATGACGGGCGATCTTTTGCGCAGTACTGTGTACAAAGCTGAGAGGCTACTGTGCTAATTAACTGCTGTTGACTTGATTGTCCATTTACACCTTTTAATGAATGTAGTTCCTCAAGGATAGACTATAAAGGCCAATTCAAAAACCAATCACTTGTGTGAAGACTGAGACCAGCTACTTATATTGGTTAAATTGATTGGAGCCACACTGGCCCACTGTGGCTGAGATCAGTAACCCCGACCCAGTGACTACTAATAATTTTTACTTCTATTTGTTTATTGCTCTCCAAAGGTACATTCATCTTACTTCTTGATGGTTGCACCCTAGCAACTGCCTAGTAACACCCATGGTATCATAGCAGGCATATAGCAACACCCTCTCAACCTCCTTAGGTACCATTTCAAGCTCCTAGCAACACCCTAGTTACACCACAGAAACCACCTAACAACATCTTAGCAACCACCTGAGATATCAAATCATGGCAACCATCTAACAACTCTTTAGCAACCACCTGGGGTACCATAGCAACCACCTAGCAACACCCTAACAACCACCTGGAACAGCTACAAGCTAACAATACCCTAGCAACCCCTTGAGGTACCATAGCAACCATGTAGCAGCACCCTAGCACCCACCTGGGGTACCATAGCAACCATCTAACAACTCTTTAGCAACCCCCTGGGTACCATAGCAACCATGTAACAAAACCCTAGCAACCACCTAAGATACCATAACAACCACCAAGCACCACCCTACCAACTTCCTGGAACAGCTACAAGCTAACAATACCCTAACAACCCCCTGAAGTACCATAGCAACCATGTAGCAGCACCCTAGCCCCCACTTGGGGTACCATAGCAACCACCAAGCAACACCCTACCAACCTCCTGGAACAGCTACAAGCTAACAATACCCTAGCAACCCCCTGAAGTACCATAGCAACCATCTAGCTGCACCCTAGCAACCACCTGGGGCACGATAGCAACCATGTAGCAGCACCCTAGCAGCCACCTGGGATACCATAGCAATCACCTAGCCACACCCTAACAACCACCTGGGGCACGATAGCAACCATGTAGCAGCACCCTAGCAGCCACCTGGGATACCATAGCAACCACCTAACAACACCCTAACAACCACCTGGAACATCATAGCAACCATTGAACAAAACCCTAGCAACTACCAAAGATACCATAACAACCACCTAGCACCACCCTAACAACCACCTGGAACAGCTACAAGCTAACAATACCGTAGCAACCACCCAAAATACCATAGCAACCACCTGGAACACCATAGCAACCATCTACATACATACACACATCATCTAAACCGCTTATCCTTCTGGGTCGCGGTGGGGTGCTGGAGCCTATCCCTGCTGTCATTGGGCAGAAGGCAGGATACACCCTGGACAGGTCGCCAGTCCATCGCAGGGCAGCAACCATCTAACAACACCATAACAAACTCTTGGGATACCATAGCAACTGGTTAGCAACATGTTAGCAATCACCTAAAATAACACATTTGTAAACACCTTAGCAACCACCTGCGAACATTCTGTTTTTTTTTTTCAGGAAATTCACTTTTCTAGTTTTTTGTAACTCAATTTTCAGGTGAAATAAACTCCCCTGACAGACGTTCTGCATCGTACTTATCCAGCACGGCCTTCAGCTCTGAGATCACCGAATCACTGCTTTCAGCTTCATGCATGAACTGATGTGTAATGACTGTTTCTCCAGCTCAAACGCTCACAAACGCTCGAGCGGAGATGAGCGCATCAGCCATGCAGAGGAAGGCAGTGATGCATTCAGCCCGTCGCGGGTGAAAGTCAGTCATGGGTGTCCGTTCTGTCCTGGACCAGCGGCCAGCAGAACGATCCGATGAGTGATCGCTGACGGGAAGGCTATTTTAGCTCAAGCTTCTGATGACATTCCTTCTCCCCTTCAGCTCCAGTCCATGTCTAAACTGTTTACTTTTCCAGATGGTACTGAAGGCTTTTTATTTGTTTTACAGATTTGCAGTACATGTTTATATTGTGACACTTTACATGTTTCAGGCAAGATATTACTGTCCACCCACGGTTTATTACAAACTATTCAAATGGATTCGGGAAGTGAACGTTGCAGTAGTTCATCCCATTTCAGCAGGTCTTGCGTGTGGTCTTAAAAAGCCCATATACTGTTGTATTTTTTCCCTCACATCCACTTATGTGCGGTTTAATGCACCAAAAAACAGTCGTCATTCATTTTACAGGGCATTTTTCAGCCTCATTTTATTTTATGAAACAGGCTGTTAGTGTTACTGTGCCTTTAAGACTCGTATATGTAAATGAGTTCTGTTCTGGTTGGCTGCCATGTATTTCAAAAGCAATCCGGGCTGAAACACTCTTTATAACTTCAGTGCAATGGGCGGGGCTAAACTGCTGAATATATGTAAATGTGTTGATTTTTGTGACATCACAAAAACAACAAATTCAGAATGGGCTGTTTTTGGCTTAGTTTCCAAATATGGGCTGCTATGTGAACATTTATATGTTATTATTATTATTTATATTATATATTATTTATTACATTTATGTTATTATATGTTACTTACTTATTATTATTAATAAATGTATTTATTATATAATAGCATTTGATTTACATTTAATGTGTAGTAATATGTTAATATAATAAATAATATAATATATTTATCATATAATAATAATAACGTTATTACAAATCATATATTTATATGTTACTATTATAACATGCATGTTATATAATTTCTTATCGAAAGAAATCATATATTTATATTTAACAAATATTAATATATCTAATTTAACTAATAAATAACAATGATGTACATTTAATAATGTTTATTGTATATTTGATTATAATAACATCATAGTTATATAATATATGCTATTATAAAATATATATATATATATATATATATATATAGTAATACATATATTAAAATTATATATGTATAAATGTTACATATATATATGTATATAATCAAATATGTGATACATTTAATGCAATAAATAATAAATAACAGTAATGTATATATAAAAAATAATAATATATTTATCATACAATAACACTATAATTATATAACATGTTATTCGTGTTATTGTATAACATTTATACATTTTCATACAAACTCTCATACAAATTTTAAAAATGATATGGGCCCTTTAAATGTCTTGAGAGTTCACTTTAATATCCGAAGTTGGTTAAATATATTGTAATTGTAATGTTTTAATGTTTCTTTATTACTTGTTGTTTTTTCTCCTTTGAAAATTAATAATTCTATTTTATACCCCATAGAACAAGAAGAGGAGATGAATGCGGAGGGAGGTGGGAATAAACCACAGCTCGGCCAATCAGAGAGCGCGCAGGGCAGAGATTTCCTCTGTGGTGATGACGGGAAACCTGAAGAAACTCCTGGACCAAAGTTCAGGTCACTGAGGCATCTGAGACAAGTGAGTTCATGACTGATGATAAATCCTCTGGTTTAATGAGCCGTAACTGCGAATAACCGCACTGAATGTGGCTGTTTAACAGGTTCTCGGTGCAGCGGAGTTTCGGCAGTTGGCGTGGCACGTGCTCATGGGAAACCAGGTGATCTGGAGAGGAACAGACAGAGGGCTCATCCAATCAGCTTTCAACATTCTCAAGGTAGGATATCCAGAAATCTGGACACAGGGGTCGCCATGACTACAACACAAATATAGCCATTTTATTTACTATCCAAACCCACCAATGAACCTACACGAGTTGGTATGGAATGTTGATGATGGTAAAATATCTGTACAAATTTTATTTGGGGACTTTTTTGCCCCACAACGTGCACATACCCCTCCACCATGAATATGATTTTAAAAAATATGTTCTGGATCGATAAGCTTCTCAAAAATATCAGAAAACAATGTCTCAGACATCAGGCAGCATTATATCGCTGCTGTCGAAACAAAACCTCATATCTCCAAAATGATAACTTTACAGGAGAAGGAAAAAACCTACTTTACTTTTAATGGAAGTCAATGGAACCAGAATTTTTTCCAAGTCATTTTGAGTCATTTCTTTTGGTCCATTCTTCATGAAGTTTACACACAATGTAAAGGACAACAGGTACTTTCAGATTATGTCAAAACTGAAAAATGGAGATATGAGTTTTTTTCCGACAGCAGCGATATGCACAAAATTTTTAATCACTTATCAGAATTATTCACAGTGTTGTAGTGATGGTTACCAGTTATCTGGAGAGTTTTTGTGTTGTAGACATCGTGACCCCAAACCTCTCTGAATTAGCTTGTTTAGGTTTCATCCACTGAATTATAATATATTATAATAATATATATGATAACAAGATTTATAACAAAATAATATTATGAATTTTGAAAAATTGATGGAGTTCCCCTTTAATAATTTGAGTGATACCCAGTATACAGTTTAAGATCTAACCTTGCTGGTTCTACAGAGGGTCTCTTTGTCTATATTGTTTTAGATGGATTGATTATTACATGTGGTCTTAGGCAAAAGTTTGGGCGCCCCTGGTCAAATGACTATTACAAATAATATTAAAATGATGCTGAAATGTTATTATTCATCTCCACGTCTGCACATTTTATTGCACAGTTACTGTTTATTTGCTGAATTTGACACACAAAAACATAAAATGTGGCCTGTGCAAAGGTTATCATGCTTTTATATTTGTTCATTTATTTTTTTTCCAATACGTTAAGCTCAGCGAAAAAGTCGAAATTGGAATAGAAACATTTATGTGTGGTCTCTGAAGAGGATGTCTTAACTCACTTTTTCTCAGAAAAAACAAAACCTGTAATTTAGCCAGGGTTGTTCAAACATTTGCATATGACTTTAAATTCAAATGTTAGAGTGCAGTCATAAGTTATACTGACATAAGCTACCTTCACATTACAAGCCTCGTTGCTCAAATCCGATCTCTCTGACTCGATGGTTCACACTCATTTAGGTAACGTAGTCATAATGTTAGCATTAAAAACGCTGACACAGTTTGTTTTTGATTCCCTTCCCATCAGGCCTTGCTCCCAGTGGGTTGCGTCCGGGTGGAATGGTACAGCTCGCACTATGAAGAGGCGTATCGATGTAACTTCCTGGGTCTGAGCCCTGACGTTCAAATCCCAGCTCACGTCAGTTCCTCAGGTACGGCCGCTGTAACACAAATCAGCTCAAATCAACATGGAACACACCTGCTAAAGTCCAAGTTATTCATTTTTCAGGAGATATTCCTGAGATTTGATATCCACTTGCAAGATTTTCTACTTCCTTTTGAAAGTGGATTATCAAAGGAAAGTCTGTGGGGGAAAAAACAGGTGTTTGCAAAACTGGAGTTAAAAAAAATAATTAAAAGAAAAAAGAAAATGGAATTCCTAACAACCACCTGAAAGACCTGGTATTATATTTAGCTTTTGAGGCTGTTTGATTTTATGTGAAATATGTTTTCTGCTTCGTTCCTGAAACTGAAAAATAAATAACGTGTACTTAATGGTCATTTTGAGATCCCACTGGCTGATTAAGGGGGTGATTATAATGAGATCTACTGGTGTAACAGTATGTTGTATTTATGATGTCATCACCTTGTAAGATGACGTATGACACAAACATCCAGGTTCATAGAAAATACAACCTACTGGAAACTCTGCGGTCATTTTATTCCTAGCCGGATGAAAGAGTTTTATGTGCAGAACTTTATCACACGTGTGCCCGTGATGAACTTACCCAAAACAAGGCAAATATAGCAAAAGTTTAGTGTGAAGAATCTACTCTATTTTATGACTGATTGATGTGTTTAACACTTTTTGCTATTATTCCATGTGTGTTATTTTACTTTTGATATCTTCACCATTATTCTATATGGGTGTGCAGGAAATGCTGGTAGTTTAGGCCTTCTTGAAAGCTAACATTAGCCTCTGGTGCTAAAAGGATATTATTTAAAAGTAGCTTAAGCTGACCGCTCCACACACAAAAACACAGGTTTATCCCATCTTTGTATTCTTCAAACTTGCGTCAGTGAGTCTTCAGTGAGCTGGAATAAACCTGCATGCTTGTGTGTAAATCTTTTTAGGCCTTCTCGCTAAGCTGACACTTCTAGTCCTAAGGGAATACCGAAGAATTCTTCTCCACCCTCAAATACACGCTTACTCGCTTTCATAAGTCGTTCTCTAAGTTTGCGCAGTGAAGCTTCAAACTGGAATGAAACTGCTCTGTTGTGTGTAAAGCTGTTTTATCCTTCTCACTAAGCTAATGTTAGCTGCTAGTGCTAAAGACAATATTGAAGCAAACATAGCGTAAACTAACTGCTCCAAACACAAAAACACAGGTTTGTCACTTTAAATTTGAGCCTTTATTCTGTAAACATGTATTAGTGAGGTCTTAGTAAGTTGGAATGAACCTGCATGGTTGTGTGTAAAGCTGTTTTGGGCCTTAATGCTAAGCTAACGTTAGCTTCTAGTGAGCAAGGAGCAAAAGTAGCTTAAGCTAACAGCTTCACACACAAAAAACACAGGTTTACTCGCTCAGATTTGAGTCTTTATTCTCTAAACTTGCATCAGTGAGGTTTTAGTAAGTTGCGTAGTTGTGTGTAAAGCTGTTTTGGGCCTTCGTGCTAAGCTAACGTTAGCTTCTCGTGAACAAGGAGCAATGGTAGCTTAAGCTAACAGCTCCACACACAAAAACACAGGTTTACTCGCTCAGATTTGAGTCTTTGTCCTTTAAAATTGCATCAGTGAGGTTTTAGTAAACTGAAGTGAGCCTGTGTGGTTGTGTGTAAAGCTGTTTTAGGCCTTCTCGCTAAGCTGATGCCAACTTTTAGTGCTGATGTTTAGCCTTTGACCCTGGTGGCAAAGCACTTTTTTCAGTTGTACTGAGAAAGTCTGGGTTTTCAGTGGAAAAATGTGAACCCTGCACTATGCTAACTCATTTGATACAAATATCAGTCTTAAAACAACACATTTTTGAGGGCTTTTTGCAGGGTTTTTAAACTTCCAAACGGACTTTCTGGACTTTCAGGTATAGTATAACCTTCGGTTTGTCCATCGGTTCTTTGCTTCTAACATTAAGTCCCTTGAACACGCAAATGGAGTGTTTGGTATACCAAAAATGACTTTTATAGATCTCCTGAAAAGAGTGATTCTCTCTAAGCATTCTAATTGGAGTAAACTAAGAGAATCCACATTTCCTATTGAGGAGCACTTGGTTAAGTGTCAGTGAGGAGAGTCAGCTGAGAAACCAATATAAGCCATTTACGTGACTTTTCTGGATCTTATACTAAATCTCTTCCCAAGAAGCGGAGCTAGTGACTTTATGAGCCTCACTCCAGTCTTATTCTCTTCCCATTTTTCTATATAAAAGAAAAATGGGAAGAGAATAAGACTGGAGTGAGGCTCATAAAGTCACTAGCTCCGCTTCTTGGGAAGAGATTTAGTATAAGATCCAGATTCTCTGGAACTCGAATGTCACGACATCGCCCTAAGAAATAAACACTGGTATTTGCTACAGATACTGATGGAGGTCGATAATTACAGAAATCTATCCACTGGAGGAAGTTTTGTTCCTTTTGAGACAGACGGAGGACTTTTATGAAAGATAGAGAAAGAATGGAGAGGCTTTAAGGCATGTATAACTGGTTTGGTTCCAATTTTAGAACAAAACAAATTTATGAAACCACAGCCCATATTAAAGTAGTGGAGCATTTCTGTTGGTCTGTTCATCGAGGAATTTTGACATAATGTAAATGTTCAAAAAGAAAAACAACAAAAATAGAGATATGATATTTTGTATCATATCACCCACAAAGAATCTTTTAAATGAAACCAAAGACATTTGCATAGGGAAAATGATTTATTTTTAATTCCTGCTAGTCCCCAGGAACTCCACTGTGGTCTCCACCTATTTCTCTGGGTAATAAATGCACAGTTACACACAGGTTAGAATCCCTTCTTCATCCATCAACTTGGGTAAAACCAAAGAGTTGTCAACTCAGGTTGTCGGCCTGCACAGATTAGGAAATTTAGGAAAATTAGTAGTCAATAGAAATGACCATTAAACACAATCTGGGCGATTACAGAAAAGTTTGAAGACCATGGAACAGTTGGAAAGTTGGGAGTTCCACCAAAGAAGATCAGAATCTTTTTGGAAGAGTTCCACCAAAGAAGATCAGAAGCTTTTTGGAAGAGTTCCACCAGAGAAGGCCGGAAGCTTTTTGGAAGAGTTCCACCAGAGAAGGCCGGAAGCTTTTTGGAAGAGTTCCACCAAAGAAGACTGGAAGCTTTTGGGAGGAGTTCCACCAAAGAAAATCAGAAGCTTTTTGGAAGAGTCTCACCAAAAAAGATCAGAAGCTCCTTTGAAGAGTTCCACCAAAGAACACCAGAAGCTTTTGGTAGAGTTTCACAAAAGAACACCAGAAGCTTTTGGTAGAGTTTCACCAAAGAACACCAGAAGCTTTTTGGAAGAGTTCCACCAAAGAAGACCAGAAGCTTTTTGGAAGAGTTCCACCAAAGAAGACCAGAAGCTTTTTTGCAAGTTCCACCTTAGAAGCTTAAGAGTAAGCTACAAATCCAGTGCCTGAGCTTTAAAAATGTCATCAGAACTACAAACGTAGTTGTGTGATGACAAACTTTGCACACAATTGTCACATTTCATGATGACATAAAATGAAAAGCACCTGACAGCCACTGTCAAATATGGTGGTGGCTGTTTTGCTGCTATATGGCTGTTTTGCTGCTAGTGGTCCAGGGGCTCTTGTAAAAATCAGTGTATTAAATTCTACTAAATAACACAAATTTTTAGCCCAAAATTTGTCTTCCTCTGCCAGAAGGCTGGAACTTGCTGGACCAAGATCTCAGAAAGATAATGACCCCAAACACACATCAAAATCCACACAGAAATGATTGCAGAAGCACAGAGTTTTGCACTGGCCCTCTCAGAATCCAGCTGAAAACCTGTGGTGTGTTTGAAAGTATGTCTTCTATAACTGAAGACCCAAAAACATCAAGGAACTGGAAATGTTCTGCATGAAGGAGTGGTTCAAGATTCCTTCAACAAGCACTCTCCAACCTTGTTAAGCACTACAGAACGTGGCTCATTGCTGTTATTTTCACCAGGGGAGGCTTTTACCTATTAATTTTGGGGGTGCTGATATTTTTGAGACCTAAAAAAAAACACTACTAAATAAAACATTCATTCCAAAACATTTATTCCAAAGCATTTGTTTAAGCCTGAAATGTAACACATGTTGATTTTAGGTCATTTTCATGACTGGTGCTAATAATTCTGGAGTTAATTATATGTTTCTATTTTGCTGTGTCTGTAAACATATATTGAAAATATGGAAAACATGGTCAAAAATTAAGTTGCAAGAAAAAATATCAATGCTGAAAGCAGACAGAAACGCTCAGTGAAGGTCGATATCTCAAATATCTAAATATCTCTGTTTATTTAATACATGTTGTGGTAAAAGTTAAAAATTCTGGTATAATTGCGAATGTCTCTGTTTTATTTTTCCTCTTTCAGAGTTCACAGTGTTGGTGGACGTGCTGAACATGGAGCAAGGCTCTTTGCATGCTGGGTGTGATGATGACATTCTCTCACTGTACCAGTTCAGTATCAGCAGCGCCAACACACAGCCAACAGACAAAGGTAATCACCGGAAAACACAAACAGACTAACACACACATTCACATTTTACTGCACAATTACTGAAAAATTCAACATACTGGAAAAAATAACGTACAGTAAAATGTGGCCTGCGCAAAAGTTATGGCACATCTTATATTTTCTAATATATTATTCTACATTTTTACTTGTTTTTCGCTCCCTTGCGGTCCATTCATAACATTTGTTTGATGTTTGTTATCAAAAAACAGTCATAATTCATTTAAACATGACCATTTTCCAACCTCTCTTCATCTCTTAAAATTAATCAGGTTGTGCCTTTAAGACTGATGTATGTAAATGAGCTCTGCTCTGATTGTGCCTCATTCAGAAAGTGCTCATAGCTGAAACACTACTTATAACGTCAGTCTGAGTGGGCGTGGCTAAACTACTGTAGGCTGTATAGGTGGATATATATATATATGTATGCAGGGTGCATATTGTTATTCTGATAAATGTGCCCACCCCCCTCTCCTCTCCAAACAAAATTAAGGAAAGGGAAAAAATTAGTTTTTTTATTATGTTGTATTTCTTTATGAGGTTGGTTGGTTTACATTTCAGAGTTAAACAAATGACAGAAAATTTGAATAAATATTCCCTTAATCAGTAATCAAACAGATTAGATATTGTAATCAGTAACTGAATAGGTAGTATTGGCTAACAGAGAACATGAATTCTCTCACAAAGGGTCGGCCTTAGTCTGTCTGCATAGGGGATTCTAGACACTGGAAAGCAGCTGGGTTCACAGAGAGGCCTGTGTGTACTACTGACCCAGTGAAGAGAGGGGCAAGTTGACCTTGAAAGGTAGAGCAGACTGGTAAAAACTGGTTGAAACCAGTTTTTAGGAGTGAGCGCAACATGCGATGGCCAAATTGATGGACAAAGAGATGCAACTATTTGAGTAAGGCAGGGGGGATATCAAATTACCCCTCTTCCACAAACTCAGCGCCTGAAGACTTTTTCCTTTTTGACATCTTTTGAGAACTTGAACTTAAAACAGTTATTAGTGAAAGTGTTTAGCTGGTATTAAAAGATTTCTTTTTATTCATAATATTAAGTTGGAGGCCTGGGGTTGAAGGGGACAGCCTTTGGTCACAACTGACAATAAAGAAAATGTGCTTTGAATCATCAATCTTGCTGTACTTTAATAAGGATTATAAAACATCCGTAAATCTGATGTGCTGAGCTGCGTTCAAAGCCGTTGTAAAATACTCGATGTACGAATAGCTATGACCGCCTCACAACAACTGAACTCTGTATCGCTGCACCACGTTATGAAAAACACTTGTGCTGTTAATGGAATAATCTTTGACTTTATTGCTGCTCACCTAGAGCACCGAGGGTTCTGATGAAGGAAGAACCCCTTTTTTGTTTAAACTGAGGGACTGGCAACTTATTTTCTTAACTAGAACTAGGCTGGTCAGTTGGCTAACAGATAGCAAACATGCTAAAGAACTCCATTAATGTCACAGGCTTAAATGAAAGAACTTACGATATTATTTACTGTAAAACGGCAATATAAAAGACTAAAGAACCTCACTCAAATGGCTTACATGCTTTAAATGTCTGCGTTTTTGTCAGAAGTGCTGTCATGTACTGTTGGGCTGCAGGAGTCAGTATATAAATTCCTACATAGCGCACTGTGTAGGGAGCAGGGAGGTAGTTTCACCTCTAACTAACAGTGTGTGTTTTACAATTTAAAGCTTACTTGCTGCATTGAAACAATTTCTGTGGTTCTTTATAAGCTAATGCTTGTTCCAAATGACTGCAGATGTAGCTGATCACCATAGATATGGCTAATCACTAGTTAGCTAGCTAACAAGGGGTGTTCAAACTTTTGCATATGACTATACAACAACATATGATCACTGTCTCTCTATCTTCCTTTACAAACCTGCAGGTCCGACTCTGCTGAATAAGCTGGAGGTCGCTCTGACTAACGAGAATCTGTCTGTGGAGGTGGTGTCTCACTGCCTGCTCTGTCTGAAGGAGGAGTGGATGAAGTCAGTATCATTTTTTAAATTCTTTAACTCTGTTCTTCAAGTTAGTCTTAAATTACCAGAATATACTGGCCACTTTATTAGAAACACCCACCTTGTGCTTCCACTGACTGGCCACTTTATTAGAAACACCCACTTTATGCTTCTGCTCACTGGCCACTTTATTAGAAACACCCACTTTATGCTTCTGCTCACTGGCCACTTTATGAGAAACACCTACCTTGTGCTTACATTGACTGGCCACTTTATCAGAAACACCCACGTTGCACTCCCACTCACTGGCCTCTTACGTAATGTTTAACATTCTCTCTCTCTCTCTTTGACAGTAAAGTGAAGGTGCTGTTTAAATTCTCGAAGGTGGACGGCCGAGGCAGGGAGGACACTCAGAAGGTTCTGGCCCTGCTGGGGGCCACCGGCCCTGGAGAAGAGGATAACGTACGCCTGCTCAAATTCTGGATGACTGGACTCAGCAAAACCTACAAGAGCCATCTAATGACGGCGGTCAGAGGAGTAGAGCGGACGCTGAGCCAGTGAGAGGAAGCTGGAGGAGAAAGACTTTGTGCTGGTCATGGAGACGGCGTGCATGAGTTAGGAGTTTTTCCTCGTTAGAGAACATGTCTGTGGACTTTTCTGAGTTGCAGCTGAAGAAAGAAACATGATCACGTCTCAGGAGGTGGTTATGAGCATTAAATGAGAATACATAATCTTAATATGGCCGCATAATTTGTTCAACCTGGTCGCTCCACAACACGGACAAAATACCACATTATGGTTACATTGTAAATACATTTATATATTCGTGAAAGTTCGGCTCACTCTTGTCTAATTACACGTTTTGTTGATTTTTTTAAAACCTCAACACATCATCTACAGTGAACGAACTGAAATATGGCATTTTAGTGCACAATTTCTTTTGCTGATTTTAACGTATTAGAAAAAAAATAAACGTGCCATAACTTTTAACACAGACCACATTTTCTGTTTTATTTTTTCCCTTTTTATCTGTTAAATTCAGCAAATAAATAGTAATTGTGTGTTAAAATGTGCAGTAGTGTGTTCTCCGTAGAGGACGTGTTCACTTATTTTCATTATTAGAAAATCAACAAAATGTACAATTTCACCAAAACGTTTGCACACGACTTGTGTGAGTATAACACTGGAATAAATAAAGTTGAACGGAATAGGAGTATAAAAATGAATCAATTTTATGACTGAATATAGTGAAACATTACACAGAATGAATGAATATAGTGTCATGACATCATAATAGGCTGCCGTCAAATAAACAGAGGTGACGTCATAATGGGCTGCCGTCATAAATAAATAGAGATGATGTCATAATGGGCTGCCATCGTAAACAAATTGAGATGACGTCATAATGGGCTGTCATCGTAAACAAATTGAGATGACATCATAATGGGCTGCCGCCATAAATAAATAGAGATGATGCCATAATGGGCTTCCGTAATAAATAAAGAAACATGACATCATAACAGGCCGCCGTCATAAATAGAGATGACATCATAATGGGCTGCCGTCGTAAATAAGCATAGATGACGTCATAATGGGCTGCCGTCATAAATAAATAGAGATGACGTCATAATGGGCTGCCGTCATAAATAAACAGAGATGACGTCATAATGGGCTGCCGTCATAAATAAAATGAGATGACGTCATAATGGGCTGCCGTCATAAATAAATTGAGATGACGTCATAATGGGCTGCTGTCATAAATAACTAGAGATGACGTCATAATGAGCTGCCGTCATAAATAAAAAGAGATGACATCATAATGGGCTGCCGTCATAAATAAACATAGATGACGTCATAATGGGCTGCCGTCATAAATAAAGAGAGATGACATCATAACAGGCCGCTGTCATAAATAATTAGAGATGACGTCATAATGGACTGCCATCGTAAATAAACGCAGATGACGTCATAATGGGCTGCCGTCGTAAATAGACGCAGATGACGTCATAATGGGCTGCCGTCATAAATAACTAGAAATGACGTCATAATGGGCTGCCATCATAAATAAAGTGAGATGACGTCATAATGGGTTGGCAGCATAAATAAATGCAGATGACGTCATAATAGGCCACCATACAATCCGCTACATTGTTACTATGCAGTTTATGCTGTTACTGTCCACCAGTTGTCGTTGCTGTTGTTGTTGTTGCTGTTGTTGTTTACAGGCTTTCTGTAATTGTCCTAAATCTTTTTTATGATCCATGCTGTTTGGTCAGTGGTCTAGAAGTCCTGACCGCACCCATCTTACTCAGAAAAGAGCTTTGTGATGTAATTTATCAGAATAACAGTTACAGGGAGCACAAAATGACTATACAGGTCAATATTTTAATAAAATTAGCTTTTCACCACCTGCACCACCTTCGAACTGGACGCTAGTACTTATGCAGGTCTTTGTATAACTAAAATGCAACTACTGACATAAAACTATGCTTAACTTCAGTCTTTGATTAATTTTTAACTTTATTTATTTTTTTGCATGGAAATGTTTGTTGTTCTATAAGTGGCTGTATGCAAACATGACCTTCTCCACTTTAAGGACCTGTGATGTCATCAGCAGTTGTAACTACTAACCAGTTCTAATCTGCAGATCAGAGGACTATTTATCTGAGGGTTGCCAGATAGTGAAAATAAAGAACTGAAATAAAGATGTGTTTATTTTGCACTCGTTTCTGTTCGAACTCGCCTGAAAGGGAATCGTTACGTTAAACTTTTACTGTTAAGTTCATCCAAACATACAGTTTTCTCAGGTTACCCCAAATTTAGTCAGTCAGCCGTGACATTAGTTGTAGCGCTGGAGCTCTGAGGCTAATGTAGCTAACAAGTGTGTTAGCTAACATAACAGCTAACACAAGTACTGGAAACTTAGCCAGGTGTTAGCATTACACAGGAAAATTGCTCACACACAAACCATGTGGAGGTGCTCAGTATCTCTAATAGACGTGATTATGTGGTTTCTGACACTGTATAGACCACTGTAGTCATGCGTCATTCTGTAGTCCTTGTTATGCCCATATTAGGAACTCCGGGTCTGAGCTCCATTTCTCTATGGGCCAGAATGAATAGGGTTTTTGAAAAATCGCCTCTAACACCCCCTGTGTTAAATAAAAATACGTTTTGTCCTGTGAACATTTTTCTCCCAACTACCACTGGATCCTCCGAATTACGTCGTAAAGAGCTATAATACTAATATTGCTACATGTGAGCTAAAGCTACTGCGCATCAATTTGATGTCACTAAGCTATACGAAACTAAGGCGGGCTGTGCCGGTGCTCTGACGAGCTGTGCTACCTTCAAAACATACTACTGTAGCGCATATTTACAGGTATACCTGTAAATAAAACCTCTAGGTGGGATATTTTGATTGACTAAAACTCCTTATCAAAAATACTACCAGCATTAAAACTATGAGGCTGAATTTAGCTACTTTTTTTAGTTTTTTGTTTGAATGTTCCTGTTCCACCTTAAATGGTGCAGCAGTTGTGATGAGCTATCACAAACATCAGCAAACGAGGCAAAATACTGACCTGTCGGTTCTGTGAAACAGCAAAAATAAGTTAATGTTACTCAGCTGTTAAATGGAAAAAGTGAAACCTCCTCATATCAGGCCTTTCAACCCTCCATGAAGCTTTTTTATCGCCGGCTACTTGTTGGAATTTTCCCGTTCCACCTTAAATGGCGCAGCAGTGAAGAACGTGACTGCTGCACCATTTAAGGTGGAACGGGAAAAGTCGAACAAAAAGCTGGCGAATGTCCTGAGAAGATGTCCTCAGAAAAATGTTACCAGCATTGAAATAATAATTAGGATATTCTGAGAGCCGAAATCAGTTTATCAGGGGGTGAGCAGTGATGTAAAGCTGAGTCTGTACTGGATCAGCCTGAGTGCTGTACGTTTGTAGATCTTTTCAGATCAATCTGTGGTGTTTCAGTGAGCATCAGATGAAGAACAGAGAGCTGCAGGGAAACCTGCTGATTTTGTTCTGACTTCTGTTCATCTGCCCTCAGTCTGTAAATGGAAATGTACGCTGCCAAAACCCGCTTAAGGAGGCTGCCAGTCTAATGACGTGAATTCAGTGCACAGTAGCTTTAGCTCACATGTAGCAATGTTCATATTTCAACTCTTTAACGATCTCATAATTCAGAGGATCCAGGTCTATGACTCACTGTTATCTATAAACATGGACTACAGTACATTAGCATAGCTAAAACACTAGTAACAGCCGTCTTGGACACCTTGCACTTGTTAGCTACATTAGACTTGTAGCCCTCTGTACATAAGAACACTTAAGACACCAAACATTTCTGGGCGAATTAACTACATTTGGTACAAAACAAGGAGTAAAAATAATTTTTGTCCACTTTTTAGGCTGAATAATAAAATGCCTGGAAGCAGGAACCTGATATGGTCCAGCCAGCCCACTGGCCCCAAAAAGCATTTGGTCATTTGAGTATGTGCAATACTTAAAAATTCTATTAAGTTCATTGTGTTAAGAAACTATGGAAACCTGTTCTCGACAGGTACAAGAATTTTTCCTTTTTCTGTTTCTGTCTGTAGTATTTCAAAATATCTCAATTAATTACTATTTTTCTCAAAGTATTGACCTAATATATCCAAATAATGATTTATGTTCTTAAAATATTGACTTGACATCTCAAAACCCTGCTAGAAAAACCAGCATGTGTTGTGTTTCGGATGCTGGTATGCTGGTCAACCAGCGTGACCATACTGGGTGACCAGTTAAACCAGCACCAGACCAGCATAAACCAGCTTAGAACAACTTGTGCAGTCTGTGCTTTTTTAAAAGCGGTAAATATTGACTTAATATCTCTAAATAATTGCTATTTTTCTCAAAGAATTGACCTAATATCTTGAAATAATATTTTATGTTCTCAAATTATTGACTAAGTATTATATTATGTCATTATTCTGAAATAATAAGTCGATATTTTAAGAATATAAGTCATTTTATGACTTATTTTATTTCAACTTCTTTTTTGAGATACAAGGTCAACATTTTCACACACTGCTGCCAGTTTCTTCCGCAGGTTTGCATCCAAAACATCTTTATACATTTCTAAGTTATACACCGATCAGGCATAACAAAATGACCACCTCCTTGTTTCTACACTCAGTGTCCATTTTATCAGCTCCACTGACCATATAGGAGCACTTTGTAGTTCTACAGTTACTTTGTTACCCTGTTTTTCAGTGGTCAGGACCCCCATGGACCCTCACAGAACAGGTACTATTTGGGTGGTGGATCATTCTCAGCACTGCAGTAACACTGACGTGGTGGTGGTGTGTTAGTGTGTGTTGTGCTGGTCTGAGTGGATCAGACACAGCAGTGCTGCTGGAGTTTTTCCACAGGTTCCACAGGTAAACTGTAGTCCTGAGTGATATTAGCCTAATGTTGCAGTAGTAAATAAGTGCTGGGCCACTGAGTTACCCTTCCCCTTATTTCTCGAGAACATTTGGGCCTCGGCCAGAACATTCCTCTCTGCCTCACACTCGGACACGTCACAGCATTACTGTAACGGCATAAGTCACTGCCAGGAAGCTCCCACAGGCATGCACAAACAACGTGTACACCCATTTGCTTACCACAACCATTTTACTCAGTATCACATGTGCAGCACGCGTAATCCGCTGTTGGGATGCATTAAAGAGCCCATATCTTACATTATTCTTGTGTGTTACTTTTTGTATCTGAGATCCACTTATGGCGTTTTGTGTGTTTGCATACACTTTTGCAACTCTTTACCCCTCACAATGCAGGGTGTTGTGAGGCAAAATAGTCCCCAAACAAAACTTATTATTTCAGATTTTCCACTATTTTACCATCAACATCCCATATAAACTCAGAAGACTCGTGTAAGTTCACTGGTGGTTCTGGATAGTAAATAAAATGTCTATATCTGTGTTGTAGTCATGGTGACCCCTGGTTCCTATCACCACCACTGTAAAGACATCTGAACCATTTCACACCAAACCACTCTGAATAATTCAGTCACTAATTTATGCAGAAATTACTGTTGTTATAAAGAGTGTTTCAGCCCAGACTGCTTTCTGAATGGGGCCCAATACACAAGCCAGTCAGAATAGAGATCATTTACATGTATCAGTCTTGAAATTGCATCCTGTTCAGGGGATAAAGAGAGGTAGGATGTATTAATTATGAGTACATAAATGGAGAAAGACATGTAAAATATAAAACATGTAGGCCCTTTAAAAGCGATATGTAAATGAGCTCTGTTCTGATTGGCTGGCTTGTGTCGCACCTCAATAAAAAAGCAGTCCAGGAAGTCTTATGCACTCCTTGTAACTTCTATAGGCCGAACAGGCGAATATAACATGTAACAGTGTTGGCGGTTGTGACGTCACAAAGCCAGTGAATTCAAAACGGGCCCCATATATGGGCTGTACGGACTGGAAAAAAACAAGCAAGAAAAAAAATCCTGCTATGGGCCCTTTAAATCATGGACCGGTGCATGACCGAGGGCTGTCACTAAACTGGGTCACTTTCAGAGGGAGCACATGACTTAGCAAGACTGCATGTGTTCTAGATCTGTGTTTTTTATGTGAGTAGCAAAAGCCAAAAGGAGTGACTAAGCAGCACATCAGGCACAAACAGCCCCTCAGTCAGAGAGAGACACTTTCTGAAGGAAGGAGGGGGCTGAAATTAAAAACAGGAGGCCAAAGTGCATGCCTAAGCCTGTGCTAGGCCTTCTCTTTTTTTGAGTGAAAGCTGAAAAGAAGGGAGGAGGGGAGAGAGTGCTCTCTAATGAAGTAAAAAAGGGGGTGGAGAGGTCTGAAGGAGGGGTAGGACGGGGGTTTTAGAGGCTTGAGTTAGCAGGGACTTTCACTTTCAGGCTCAAAGCTGCTGTGGGTAGTTAGCCTAGCTGAGAGAGAGAGAGAGAAAGAGAGAGAGAGCACAGGGGCTAGCTTTGAGTAGGGGGAGAAAAAAGGTGGAGTGAGTGAAAGAAAAGGGAAAACGAAAGAAAGAGGGACGTGGGGATATCTGGAAGGCATTTTGGAAAGTACCAGAGGGTCAACAACCTGGGAATTCTGGGGAGAAAGGGGGAGCTTTGAATGTGCTAGTAACCAGCTGTGCCCCAGCACCGTGGGAGGCGACAGACAGAGAGAGAGACATGGGGAATAACATAACCCACATGGGCCGGTAGAAGCATGACACCCACAGGTACCGTATACCGTCCATTAACCGCCTTTAATCGTCTTCTTTCTGCTGCTTCTGAGAAACGGAGACCAGCCTGGTAAACTAATACTAGGTGGAGTTTGAACTGCGCAGTTACTCGACAGCTTCTTATTCGAATTTTCCGTTCCACCTTAAGTGGAGCAGCGCAGCTACTCACCGTGTGCAGGAGCCCAGCGCCGTAACTGCTGCACCGTTTAAGGTGGAACGGAAGACAACTTGAGCTTCGTGTTCAGATTTGAAGTAAAATCAATGCTGTCTTGCTTTTATGGGTTTTTTTCAGTATTACTGCTGCTGTCAATATTTACAGTCCGAGGAAGTGGCTGTAAAGATTTGGACAAAGCGACTGTCCGAAATTTACAGAACAACATCAGCAATGAGAACAACACTGGATTTGTAAGTGAACAAGTGTTTTTGTTTTTAATTGTTCATTTGTTGATGTATTGCATATGTGTTTTGTCATATAAAGCAGTGGTTCTGAGTTTATGAAAATGCACATTTATATATATATATATAGAGAGAGAGAGAGAGAGAGAGAGCGAGAGAGAGAATATATATATATATATATATATATATATATATATATATATTATATATATATATATATATAATATATAAAGTATATAAAATATACTAAAAAATATTTAAAAAAGCTTTAAATATAACTGAAAACAAAACTATTAAAGGAAAGGGGTGCGCTGGATTTTTAAAACAAGACAAAACGAGGACATCATTTCAAAACAGAATGCAGCACAATAATTGTTCAATACTTGTTTTATCTCAGTTACTTTGTTTTCAGAAATGCTGGAAGCCAAGATCATAACTGAACCTAAAAATCGATCAATCGCCCTGTCTTTATATATATTAAAAGTATATATATTTATATACATTAAAAGTGAAAAAAGTTTGTTTTTCTTCTGCAAAATCACTATATATATATATATATTGTTCCAATCTCTACAATATATTTCATTGTATTTTAAATGCCTTTTCATATATGTTTGCGTACTCCACTCCGACACTGAGTATTTCCTGCCCTAACACAGCTGATCATACTCATCAGCTTACTAGTAAAGAAGAAATCCGTCATTTGTTTAACATTTCTGCAGAGTCATTCAGAGTGGTTTGATGTGAAATGGTTAATTGTAGAGAAACTTACTTTGGAAAACACCCTGCATGTATCTCTCCACCATGAATATAAGTTTTGTGCTAAACTTTTCTCAAAACTATTGTAAAACAGTGTCTCAGACATCAGCATTCCATGTAATAACTTTCTGTGAGGGAGCTTTTAGAGGTGGATGTCTGATTCCTATCAACACCACTGCAGTAGGTTTCTCTAGAACGGAGCATTGCACATCAAACATTAGTTACGCATAATTAGTTCCTCTTTTCGTCTTTAAGTCGGAACCACCAGAGCCACTGCTTTAAAGTGCTGTGATAACAGTATGTTAATGTTGGACGCTGTTTGCAGCCGGAGGTGTTCCCGAAAGATTATGTCGTGCCTCGCCATTACAGTCCCAGCACGCAGTGTCACGACCAAAGCGCCATGGTAAGAAAAATTTCCATCTGTGAGTCAGCTTCAGTCTGCACGACGAAGTTTTTCAGTGATGGATCACAAAGGGGCCCTCTGGGAAAAATAAAAAGAGTAATTATCACTACAGCTGTTGTAAACATGCTTAGTCACATCCTACAGCAGTGAGCAGTAGTTCTGAATGACCGCTGATTTAACCCCTTAAAATTCCAGACTTACTGCATACTAAGGCTTATTATTCATTAACTACAGTGACGTGAATGGAAACAGGCTGAGCTATTATTAGGTCATAGAAGTGTGTAATAAAACTTTGGGCCTGCAAGTGGACACTGGCCATTTAAGGCCAGGAAAACCCCCTTCTGATGATGTATCTTGAAGGTGGTAGGAGCTTTTGAAAAACTACAACTGCTAGGGTGTTCATTTTTGAGCACAGGCTATTTTTACATGTTTTTTTCATTAGCTAGTGAATGCAGAAGGAAGGCAGATAGGTAATGTTACTGAAAGCTGAATATTTTGTTGTAGCTGTGTAACTGCTTTCAAATCATCATTACAGTGGAGAGAAGAACAACAGATGAGGAAGACAACAAGCTTTAAAAAGCTAAAGTTAAATCTAGACGATCTAGGCTATCTAGACATGTAACCTCAGTTTGGCTTCTTTTCTCTGACTAAAAGGAGAAAAAACTCATCTGTTGTTCATTTTTTGCTGAAAAAAGACAATCACTTTTTCTTTTACAACCCCATTTCCAAAAAAGTTGGGACGCTGTGCGAAAATGTAAATAAAAACAAAATTCGATGATGAGACACTGCAGTAGTTTTAAAAGTTAAATGTTTTCCTGTTCTTGCTTGATACAGGATTTCAGCTGCTCAACAGTTCAGAGTCTCCTTTTTCATATTTTTCATTTCATAATGATCTCATTGGTGACAGGTCTGGACGCAGGCAGGTCAGTTCAGCACCTGGACTCTTTTAATACGGAGCAATGCTGCTGTAATGCATGCGGAATGTGGTTTTACATTGTCTTGCTGAAATAATCAAGGCCTTCCCTGAAAAAGACGTCGTCTGGATGGCAGCATATGTTGCCAAAACATGTATATATCGTTCAGCATTAATGCTGCCTTCACAGATGTGCACGTCACCCATGCCATGTGCACTAATGTCCCCCCTATACCATCATGAATACTGGCTTTTGAACTGTGCACTGATAACAAGCTGAGTTGTCTTTAGCCTGGAGGACACAGTGTCCATGATTTCCAAAAAGAAATTTCAAGTGTTGATTCGTCAGACCACAGGACACTTTTCCACTTTCCCTCAGTCCATTTTAAATGAGCTCAGACCCAGAGAAGGTGGCAGCGTTTCTTGATCCTGTTTATGTACAGTTTCTTTTTTGCGTTTAACTTGCATTTGTGGATGCAGTGATTAACTGTTTTCACAGAAGGTGGTTTTCAGAAGTGTTTCTGAGCCCATGCAGTGATTTCCACTGCAGAATCATGTCTGTTTTTAATGCAGTGTCACCTGAGGGCCCAAAGATCACAGCCAGCAAATACTGTTTTTTGGCCTTGTGCTTGAATCTTTTTGTGATATTATGTACCGTAGGTGATGAAAAACAAAAGTTCTTCACTATATTTTACGTTGAGAAACATTGTTCTTGAATTGTTGCACTATTTGATCATGCAGTCTTTCACAGAGTGGTGAACCCCTCCTCATCTTTACTTCTGAAAGACTCAGTCATGTTACTGACCTGTTGCCAATTAACCACCAGGCGTTTTTTAGCATTACACAGCTTTACCAGCCTTTTGTTGCCCCCGGCCCAACTTTTTTGGAACGCGTTGTTGGCATCAAATTCAAAATGGGCAAATATAAAAAAAAACAAAACAATAAAATGTATTAGTTTTGACATTTGATATGTTATCTTTGTATTATTTTTAATGAAATGTAGGGTTTAAATGATTTGCACATCGCTGCATTTTGTTTTTATTTACATTTTGCACAGCGTCCAAACTTTTTTGATAATGCGGTTGTAAATTTTGTTCAATAACTGAGGTAAAAAGTTACACTAATGCTAGCTTGGTCGTGTTTACTAGCTTATAGCTCAGTTGCTAGCAGTCAGAATTGGTTGGCACCACAGGGATGCCCACTGACTGTGTGGTGTGTTTGTATAATGCATCCCTGGCCATTGTAGTGAGAGAACACTGATGAATGAAAACATGAAATAACGGTATAAAATTGTGAACTGTGAAGGCTGATGGCTGCATAATACTGCATAATGCAACAAGTAACATCTTAAACTCTAGCTTTAGGCCAGAATGCCCCGTTAATCCATGTGCAGGAATACATGAAGTGAAGAAATTTTGGGTTTACAATACTGTTCTTTATAATATACTATTCAAATACAGTCTTACAGCTCATCCATGTTCTCTCTGTTTCGCTCCGCAGTGCTGTGTGTTCAACGAGGCCGCGTTCCTGTCGCATTCTTGGGTGCAGCTCTTGCAGCAGCTTGAAAAAATTCACCTCAAACGCTACTTCATCAACGAACTGATACAGCAACTTAATGACATTTCAAAAGATGCATGGGTATGCATGAATTCCTTTGTTGCTTCCATAGTGAGAGGCTTTCTGCCGTTATCTGGCTCATAATTTGTCATAGTGAGGACAGGCTGGTCTGTGCATTAGTGCACTGTTGAGAAATACCTTCATGTAGATCTACATGTATTTTAAGGTTTAGAGTCACCTGTTGTCTTATAGCCTCACTCTCACAGCCAGAACTCACCCAATTTAATGAATAATATATCAAATATTTTTCATATTCAAACCTGATCAGCTGTTTGAGACTGATTAATGAACTGATTAATCAAGTGGAATTAGGTGTACCCCTGAAATCTATACTTGCCTAAACTCTATCAGAAATCAGAAATCAATCTGTGAATGCTTTTCCAGAGAATTGAAGTTTGAATTGGTGTTTCAGTTAAAATGAATTATTCATGTAGTTTATTTTGAGATTTGTGCCTGTAATCCATTAAACTCTGGTCTTATTATTTAGTAGCTACTGTAAATTATTCAATACCTACTATAAATTATTCAATATCTATTACAAATTCATATATTAATCAGTATTAACTAAGAATTATTCAGTATCTATTGTGATTTATTCAATATCTACTATAAATTATTCAATATCCACTAAGAATTATTCAATATCTATTATAAATTATTCAATATCTACTATAAATTATTCTGTGCCTACTAAGAATTATTCAATATCTATTATTCAGTACTTACTAAGAATTGTTCTGTATCTATTAGGATTTATTCAACAGATACTGTAGAGTACACAGTAACTCAAATAACTCAAATACTATAAATTATTCAATATTAATATTACATATATTATGTACTATAGAGTACACAGTAACTACTACAAATTACTCAATATTCTACTATAAATTATTCAGTATCTACTATGAATTTTTCAGAAGCTAGTATAAAGTATTACGTAAATACTAGAAATTACAAAAATAACTTCTATGAAACAAAGTTCTGATTGTAAGATCTGGAGTTTAAATGTGTGATGATGATGATAATGCAGGCATGCAGATATGCTAATTGTAGAGGTATAAGCTTGCATTGTTTGTTGGCAGCATTAGCTTTGCCACTCTAGTGCTAAAACTAAAGAAGAAAGATTCAGAGACCAAACTCAGCTGCATTTGGAGTAAAGAGAAGATTTATTTATTCATTTTTTTTTTTTCTCCAAACCTTTGCTTTAAAATGAAGGCTACTGTGTCTGTTCTTTGTCTGTTCTCCTCCAGTCTAACAGCTCTGTATTCCTGACAGTAAGCTCTGTGGTAATGTCTCTCCTTTATCCTTGTGTAAACAGTGTTTCCAGGAAACTCCGGATCCCTCCGTTTTCCCGTCTGTGAACTCCTCCCCTGGAGCACTCCTCACCTTAACTTCTTCACTCCTCTCCAGATGGCTGGAACTGAACTGTCCTATGGGGGAAAATGCCTGCAGCTTTCATTCCCCTTGTACTACAGAGGAAGAGGAGGAGGAGGAGGAGAAGAAGGAGGAAGGGAGCCTGGAAGGAGGAACAGGAAAGGAGGAAGAAGGGAACGTTGCAGGTGAAAGGACAGTCGAGGGCCCGCCATACATGAAAGAAGGAGAAAGAGGAAAAAGATGGATCACTGTGATCCCAACTAACAAGTACTATGGGTCATCTCCGTCTCCGGGCCTTCTCCTCTGTGCGTTTTTTTTCCGGAGGATCGTAATGGACGTGATTGTGAGAGAGCTCTAACGAGGGAGAAGAAAGTCGTGGAGCTTCGTCATGAATGTAATACCGAGGAATCCTGGCCAGTTAGCCAAGACGTTCGGTTACTGCAGCAAGCTTGCTACAGCAAACAGTCTGGGAGGAATTCATAGGTAATGAAGGAGCCGTGCGTGGTGCTCGTTGGATATTGTCTTAAACCTATCATGACTGTTTTTGTGCTTATTCTATGTAAAAATAATCACTCTTAAAGCTTTCGGAGGCACTGCATTGGTGGAGGTACACTGACGTCTATAGTGTTTGTAGGATGCAAATTTTGCCATTATAATAGGAAAAAACAGCATATTTTGTGATCTTATGTTTAAGAACAGTCATAGAAGTTAAAGCAGCTAATGAAACATGCTGTGTAACTGAATGTCAGAACGATAGGAATCATCATAGGACCTGAAACCACACAAACTGCTGATTTAAACTGTCATTAATGTAAAAATTGCACCCGACAAACATTTCAGAAGTATTTCCAATGATTTAGTCAGGCAAATTGAGCTAAAAGCACAAAACGCTCCCTCAGCTCTCGTAGCTTTTCATTATAATTAATCAATGGAAATTAAAGAGTTAGCATTAGCCTGCGTTTTGACCAAAAAAAGCTGATACGTTGCCTCAGCGTCTGACTGTATCCCATGCAGTGGCTCCGATTTTTAATAGGTGTTGTTTTGAAAGCTTGTTTCTTGTGGAATATTAGAATGTCTGGCCCAGGGGTTAAATTGGAATTTAATAGGTGGTGATTCTATGAAGTAATAGGCAAAAAAACATATAACGGTTAGCTTAAACAGTTAATCTCAAAGCCGCAAGCTAGCTAACTTAAACAGCTAAAAAGGTTGATCTTATGAACAAAAAAACAGCTATTTGACTTTGTATGTGCATATTGTAGGCTAACTTGGGGCTAGCTGACTTACACATAGCCTAACCTGCTCAACACAGCAAGCTAGCTAGGTTCATTTGTGTATGGTGTAGGCCAGCGTTTGGCTAACTTAGGGCTTGCTAATCTGATTCTGACGTTCTGATATCTGAAGTAAAAGTACATCATAGGTATCATAACTTTGATATTAACCAGCCGACTAATGTAAGAGTGCTGCATTCCGTACAGTACTTCGGCACTTTTCAGTAGTTATTGCGGAAAAACCCAGACACAAAAAGTCATACACGATTTAATGATTGGTTGGACTCTGCAAAATTTGTCTAGCAACCAAGTTGCCTTTTGATTGGTCACATCTGGGCCAATACTTTTAAAGAAATAAGAAAAAATCGTCATCTGTGTCGGTTTGTGCTGTCAGTATTCCGTAACCAGCTTCCACAGAAGGAGTGGTTTTCCGTACAGCGTTTTCCCTGCATTTTTGCCAACAGATTTGATGGAAAAATGAAATGAAAATATCGTTGACAAATGTCAAGAAAGTGTTTTTTATTACACAAACAGGAAAAGTTGCAAGTGTATGGAATACTGAAGTGTACGGAATACCGTGCTCTTATGTTAGCTAGCTAGCTAAAGCTTCAGTCCCACTGCAGGAAAACCCAGAAAAAGTTCATGGCTAATACATTAGCGTGTACCTAACATATTAGCTCATGCCTAGCATTAAATCTGGGCATTTTAAAGCACAGTTTTTGTTTAGCGTTTCTCTGCTGCTAAGGATCCAGTCTGAATGGATCACTGTTCCATTCTAAACTCTTACATATTGTAGTTTTATCTGTTGAATGCTCTGAAAATATAGTTTATTAGCTCAAGGTAGATCTTCAGGCACTCCTTATTCATCTTATCATCTTAGTCGTTTTCAGAATTGTTACACCCTTTTTGGCCATCCAGGTTCCTAATTTGTAAACCTCTGGCTGGAACGCCGTTCCAAATTCCAGGATCCAGTTTAACCCCTGGTCTTATCCCATGCAAATAAGCAACATGTGTAAGCGTGCCTGCTCAGATCGAGCACATGTTTCAGTCATTTCATGGGGCTTCAATGTCAGAAAAATAGCATTTAGCTGTTGCTAAGCTGTCCAGACTTGTGTCATATAACCTGTCATAGCTACCAGGCTAACACTGAGGGGTAGCGAAAGACTTTTGGACCGGCCGTTAATCTTCCACAAAATGAAGTTTTTGACCTAGTTCTCCACGTTATTTTAGAAATCCATATCACAGAGTTTATTAAGTTAGTAGCTAACACTACATGCTGCAGCCAAGGATGGGACGATTACCAGTTTAATGATATACTGCAGTATAAAACCTGATGAGCATCTTTTAAAAAATTGACTGTGGAAGCAAATAGTTCTACCGTTACATTCTTCCCTCAAAGCGCGCACCAGGACAGCACATGTTTACACAGTTAAAATCTTTTTTAACATTATTTTAATTTTTTTAAGGCTTTTAAATTATTTTTCTTTTTTGCTAGCTAGATCTCTGTCTATCACACGATGCTAGCATGCTAGAAGGGTGAAGGCTAGCATGAGCTTCCAACAGGACAACCAGTGTGTCTCAAGTCAGGGGCTGCGTCCTTCGGGGGCTGCATTTGAAGGCCGATTGCGTCACAACGGCGCGACTAGGCTGTCCCATTTCGAAGGCTCCTTCATATGCGGCCAAGAAATGTGTCCTTCTTTTCCATGGCAATGAAGGATCCAACGGGTGGATCCTTCACCAGCCAACATATCCCGAGGTTCACTGTGTGCCGGCGAGGATTCGAGAACATGAACATGGCGGCATCAACAGAGAAGCGAACAGCAGCTGAGGAGACACTTTCAATATAAGTGTTAGGTTTAAACTGAGGCGGATGGCTAACGATACAACTTTAAAAAAACAAACAAACAAAAACAATCTCATCAGTAACCGGCAGTAAAGCATGTCCAGCTCTAATACATGAAAAACATGAAAAAATAAACAAATAAAACGTTTCTGGCTCCGTCTTTATAGAACTTTAAAAGAACTTGGTAGGAGCAGTGTTTGGTGACGCAGCGGTAAGGGCGGGAACAGCGGTGCTGTGACGCAAACCCGCTGTAGGGCAGACCGTCTCATTTCAGTTCAGCCTTCATGGGTCTAAGCAGCCTTTGAAGGACACGCCTTCGTAGACCGCGCCCTTCGAAGGATCCAGCCCCTGAATTGGGACACACTGAACGTCATTGGAGGTCAGCATGCTTACCCACCTAGAGAGAGAGAGAGAGAGAGAGAGAGGGATAATTGTGCTCTCTTGAACTCCTGATTACGGATGGCTGTGGCGTCACTGTGCATTAAACTCACAGTATCCCAGTGATAGTGCCGTCATTTAAATGGTTGTGTCGTCTAGCCGAACGGTTAAAATATGATCAAGTAAACATTTCATATTTATTTAAGTTGTAGTATTGTGTAGTCTTTGATATTATAAATAAATTCTGTTTTAATCCTAATATATAAGTGTAATTATTATTTTTTTTACAAGTGCCGTCAAGTCCACTCCAACCATATGGATAATGTTTCTCCACACACTTTAAAAAGATGGTTCTTCAAGGGTTCTTTAGTAAAGAAAATAGTTCTATGCAGAACCATGACCACTCAAAGAACCCTTTGCATGATCAAAAGGTTCTTTGCATGGTGAAATAGTTCTTCAGATTGATGGAGAATTAAGTATTGTGGCTTGTCGATGATTTCTTCAGATTTTTGTCCGTCCATCTTGTTGCTGGTCGTCCTCGTCCTCTTCTGTCTTCAACTCTTCCAAGCATAGCTGTCTTTTTAATAGCTGTCTATCAATACAACAGCTGTGCTGAAATGAATTTAGTGTGTTTCATTGCTTTTTAAAGGAGACGTCCACCAACTGTTCAAATTTTCTACATAATTAAAAGGTTCCAATGTAAACGAAGTCACTCAGAGTAGCTTGATGTGAAATCTCCATTCTAGAGTCAGGAGTTGGTGTTGATAGGAACCAGACAATGGTTAAACATGGTTATGAATGCCTGATGTCATTTCTTTTAGGATAGTTTTGAGACGATTTTGGTCTAAAATGAATCCATTCATGGTGGAGGGATACATGCAGAGGCAAAATAGTCCCCAAAAGAAAACTTACTATCTCATATTTCCAATATTTTTCCATCATCAACATTCCATATAAACTCAGAAGACTCGTGTAGGTTCACTGGTGGTTCTGGATAGTAAATAAAATGGCTATATTTGTGTTGTAGTCATGGTGACCCCTGGTTCCTATCACCACCACTGTAAAGACATCTCAATCGGTAGGTTTCGCTACAGTGAACCATTTACATTTCAACAAATGTTGAAAAGAATTTTTTGAATATTTGAGGAATGCTGCAGTAATATTGACCATTTTGGTCAGTAATATCATGATAGGAAGTGAGTCTGTCCCATCTCTGGCTGCAGCTGTATAATCGTACCGTTTGTCACTGTAACGTTCTATGTTTCTGCGTTTTTAAAAGCCGTTCTCATTTCTCTCCAGAGAAAACGCCTCAGAATCAGCAGCCGCCGGTCAGAAATTAGCTTTCTGAGAATAGTGACTGTTCTTTAAAACGCTCTGCTGACTGGACTGTTACATGATTTTGTCTGTTGTTTGCTTTTTCTATCATTTCTTTGCACTGATCGTTCTCATCCCCTCTTTGCCTCTGGTGAGACTGTCGAATCACGTGCCTTTAGTGTTATGCAAGGCGTCAGATGTGGGCTGAATAATTCTCGAACACTGAATGTAGAAAGAAAGACTCCAGGAATGCACAAACAAAACTCCTTTTTCTCTCCGTGGTCGCAGTATTAACTATATTAACAATCACCATGGTTTTTTTCTACATTGTGCTAAAATATGCCAAAAACAAGACTGTATTATCTTTGCTGTTTTGTGCAAAAGTTTGGGCCTTTGCTGATTTTTGCACATCCTCTACAGGGAACACTGTTCTGCACATTTTAATGCACAACTACCATTTATTTACCGAATGGAACAGATTGGAAAAAGAATATAGACATCAAATGTGCGCAAAGGTTCTGATGCATTTTATATTTCGCGTTTTATTTTGTTTTCCGAAGCTTTTAAGCTCAACAAATTTGCAAATTGTTGCAGAAAATGCTGTGTTTAAGAAATTGTTGGAGAAAAATGCCGTGTTTCAGCTCCCTGTAGAGGATGTGTTCACGTGTTTTTCATAAAGTGTGTAATTTGACTGGAAGCATGCAAACTTTTGCACACAGCCACATGACACTTGCCAGCTAGCACTCAAAGCAGTCCTTACAGACAGTATTTCAGGATTGGTTCTGCATTTGCGTTAAAATGTTTACATGTTTGGAAATGTTAGCCTGGACGCTAGCTATCATGAAGCTACTTATACTGTATTAGCACAGTCAACCCGCCTTTCAAAATGTATGTGTTCGTGTATGTGTTTTAATGAAACCTCTATGTATAATGTACAGAAAAACGTGTATATCTAATATACAAATTCTGCATAAAGTGTTATAGCAAATTTTACATCGACCGACTTTTCAATGTAACCGTGTCACTGTAAGCCTCGTGTAGCTGAGCTGCACAGTTGTTGGGCCCATGTTTTACAATTTTCTTGTATTTGTTTCTCCTGAAATCCACTGATAACATTTGTGTGGGTGCCAAAAAAACATGCCTTCAACATTTTCCTGTCTTTATTCGTTAGAATTCATTTATTCTGTCTTTGAGACTAAGATATGTAAATGGCCTCTTTTCTGAACCCTTCAGCGCATCATCATTCACTCTGATATTAGACTGTCCGCAGAAACAACACTCCACATCGCTTCAGCAGTAATGGGCGTGGCTAAACTTCTTGGTGGTCATATGTACATGTGTTGTGGTTATTACTAGGGCTGGGTGTCATTCAAAAGTTATGACTGGCAAATACTAATTTCTGAACGTTACTTTTTTGATAGTGCTACTTAAAATTATATACTCAAAATGGGCGTGGCTTAAACTAAAAATGAGTGAGGTGCTGGGAGTGGGAATATGTACTGAACACAGAGTGCAGACTAGCACTGACATTAATGAAATCCATACGGAATGTAATTTAGACAGCCAGTCAACCGACTAGATTTTGGCATGCTTATTGGCTCACTAGCCACGTTTACATGCAGCCTTATAATCCGTTAATTATCCAACTGATAGCTCAATGGGAATAGAATACGTCCATGTATACACCCCAGTCGGAATAGACGAGTCCGTTTGAGGCCATTCGGAATACAGTTTCTATCCGATTGAACGAGGTGGGTAATCCTGTAAATAATCCATTAAATAGAAGAATAATATCCGTGTAAACGCCTGTATCTGATTACATTCCCTAGCAGAAAGCTTATACCGTTCGACATGGCGGAGCAGAAACTGGTCTGCAGAGGAGACGAAGTTTATGCTCTGATCTGTCTCAGAACACGGCGTCTTCCTCTCGGCCTTCTTTAATAAGGACATGTGAAGCACGCTTTCCTGAGTCTGACATCATTTTAAAGCAAATAAAAAACACAAGCACTGCTCACTGCTGCTCATCTCACTCTGACTGGACTCACGTGATGCTGGTTGTCATGGTAACGTCTACACCAAGTGGTGCTCTACGCATGCGTGTTGTTTTGGATCTGATTACTTGTAGTGAGCATGTAAACAGAGATTCTTCATCAGATTGTTGAGTAGAGTGAGAATAAACAGCTCAGTCTTAATCTATAATCGGAATGTATTCAATCAGATTGACAAAAGTCTTTGTGTGTAAACACAGACAGTGATGATAACAAAGTGTTTAAATTGGATACTAAATCAGTAGCGGGTGGTCGAGTATACTGGTTGGAATTCTTTCTCAGGTATGAGGTATAGAACGTGACGTACAAACAATGCAGACCATGCTAACGTTAGTCCGTTTAGCTGAATGGCTATGGGAGTCAGGGATGTTTTGGTCACATTTCAAATGAAAATGAAAACATGGCAGACCTTTGATCACCTCCCGCTGTCTACTCCACTTCATCCGAAGTAGTCCACTTTGTTTTCAAGGCAGCAGACAGGAAGGGACAGCCTGTGCTTTGGGGTTAGTCTAGCCTGACCTGGACACCAGGCCCGACTCAGTCAACTTCACCAGATGGATATCTGGCCTTGTCCGCCCTGAATGACTAATTTTTTCCAAAGTCCAGCAGTGTCTCCCAGGCGTGAGGGCAGTGTATGAGACAAGTATAAGACCAATTACTTAAGAAATTTAACGAAGCTGAAGACTATAACTGCTGCTCAATTTAATGTGGAATGGAAAAATCAAGCAAAGAGATTCCAAATAAAAACTTCAGCTTTGTGGAGATTCAGACGTGAGTAGATGTAAATATTTTGCTCCTTTTTTGCCAGAAAGCAATATTACAAGGTAGGTTTATCTATACATTTATTTATTAATCTTGTGACTGTAAAATATTTCAGGATTACTTTAGTTTTTAAAACATCCCAGAATAATAAGCATCTCAACAAACATTCAGAAGACTCATGCAGGTTCACTGGTGGTTCTGGATAGTAAATAAAATGTCTATATCTGTGTTGTAGTCATGGCGACCCCTGGTTCCTATCAACACCACTGTAAAGACATCTGAACCATTTCACACCAAACCACTCTGAATCACTCTGTTTACATCTCAACCACTGAGAAATGCAGAAACTTTGGAATTTCTCTTTAAAATAATGTTAGATGTGTCTAGAATGATAAACAGAGCTGTAGATGATTATAAACTGACTGACAAAGCTATAAAACATCTCTAATAAAATTAACATCCAGAGTAATCAACATCTGTTTAGAAGTTAACAGATAATTACAGCACATAATTTGTCATTCAATAACTTATTGTTGACCCCACGAACTTGAAATAGTAAATAAAATATGTTTAAGTGCATTATGCTGCTTAGTTTATAGTATTTTAACCTGCAGTGTTTAAGCTATTATACGCTAATATACTGTGATCGGTAATATTAAAGTTGGCACTAAGGATGGCATTTCGACAGCCCAGACATCACACCAATATGGACTATTTGGATTAAGAAGTAATTTATACTTTTATATTAACCCCTTAAATAGAAGAATAGCTCAGCCTGTTCGCTCTGAAGTCCCTTTAGTTACTTAATAAAAAGTCTGGGACTTTAATGGTTTAAGTGCGAAAAAAATGTTGACAATATGGCCCTTTTAAATTGGATGGTATAGGCCAGGGATCGGCAGCATATGGCTCCGGCTCTTTTACTGTCCTGTTGTGGCTCTACAGCTGAATCAGATTTGTAGGTAAAAATAAAATAATCCTCCTTTACAGTAAAATAAAGCTCTGCTGATCGTTCAACACAGTTTAACAATAAATGGTCTTAAACTCTGGAGTTAATGTAGAACTGCTAATTCACCCTTTAACCCTGAAGATCAGCGCAGACTGCTGGTCACCATAGCAACAGAGACAACAGTCTCGCCTAGCTAGTAGCTAAAAAAAAGGCAAAGAAAGAGATTTAAGACAAACATCCATAATTTGGAGACGAATGGACTGATTTGCGTCTATAATCACTCCAGCTGGTTTCCTGATACGTTTAATCTGCAGCGAGAAACTCAAACATTAAAAAGCTGCAAGGCTGAAATCAGCTTCTCCTTCGCCAGCTTCTCATTCAAATGTTCCTGTTCCTCCTTAAATGGCGCAGCAGTTACATTCTGGCACCTCAGGCACCATTTAAGCTGGAACGGGAAAATTCGAACAAGAAGCTGGCGAATGAGAAGCAACTTCAGCCTCAAAAAAAGTTGGACGTTAAGAGACATTTTACAAGAAACTGTTCCACTTTTGAGGGAAAGTTTCCTGCTGGAGATGCGCAAAAAGATGCTACAGCTGAGCTAAAGATTAAAGCAGAGCAAAGTAAGTCTGAGTTTTTGTTTATATTATATTTTTAGCCTGTACTGGTACATTTACACATACTGAGACATATTTACAGCCAAGATGATAAAATGGACATAAAATGTTGTGGCTCCCAAGGTCGTTTGGTTTTGGTTGAAAGGACAAAATGGTTCTTCTTAACATTTGGGTTGCCGACACCTGGTATAGGCAGTGTGTAGTTTTTCAAGCTTGGTGCAGAGTATCTGTGTTTACTTTCAAAGAAACATGGTGTCTTTTTGGCGAGGTTGTGGGGAAACAGCAATAATGTGCTTATTGAAGCCCCAGCAAGCAAGTATATAAACACTAAAACGAAAGCTCCTGAAGCAAACTGGTCACGGACACTGAGCAAACAACAGTCCCTCCACCCAAATTCCATCCAGCTCAGCTCCTCAGCCTGCCATCATTTCGAAAGTGGTGATCCAGCTGCAATAAGTTTGGAATGTTTGAAATATGACTAATTCCAATATTCCACTAATGTGTTTATGTTTCCTGTAGTTACATTTGTTTATTCTGTGTAATTTTAAACATAATTCAGAATCAGACCAGAATAACTGAATTGAACCCTGATGAGCTTTGAGACCACTCTTTCATTTAATTTGCAGTCAAAACAGCCAATAGGAATGAATTCTTCAGTTTTTCAGGAGATATTTCTGAACAGAAAAGACTTTTGAGTAAAGGAAGGAGAAAAAAACAAGTTTCCAAAAAAAAATAAAAATTAAAAGTTCCAAAGAAAATGTGGCTCCTAACAACCACCTGGAAGAGCTGTTAGACCCCAAAACTGACCCCATCAGATAAACAGCACTTAAAGCTTTCATCTCTGAGAGAGAGGAGAAAATCAAGCTGTCCATCCTTCCACTGTGAGAAGACGACTCAGCGCTGTGGGTCTGAAAGGATGTGTAGCTGATCAAGAAGAACCTCACTGAGAAAAGGAGACGGACACATCAAACAAAGAAGCTGAACAATGGATTGACCACCCCAGAGTCCAGACCTCAACACCACTGAATGTGTTTGATTACTTCAGAAAATGATCAACCAGCTTCTAAGACTGAACTTTGGAGGTGTGTCTGCAGATTCTTTGAGGAACTGAAAGTGAGTCTCCTGAAAAGAATGGAAGCTGGAATAAAGGGAAAGAGTGACTCACTGAACACTGAAAAATGAAAAGTTACTTTTAGTTGTTGATGCTTCTGTGTAATTTTCTGTTAAATATGTTTTCATTTTTTTCTGATGCTGAAAAAAAAAAAACTAATACTTAATGAGTGTTTTGGCTGGAAATGCTTTCTGACTGTTTTACATTCAAATGAATCCTTTACTACTTGCATCATGATATATTCATTATTTATAACTCTAAAATCTTAAACAAGTAGTCTAATGTAAAGATTTAGGTTAGCATTAGATCCTAGTGGGTGTAGTGGCCTTGATAGCATCAACCTGTTTGAGACATTCTCTACTGAGTTCAGGTGTTTCAGCCACACCCATTGCTAACAGGTGTATAAAATCAAGCACAAAGCCATGCAGTCTCCAAAGACAAACACTGGCAGTGGAATGGGTCATACTGAAGAGCTCAGTGACTATAAGCATCACTTTTATTAGATGCCACCTTTACATTTTGTAAAATTTCTGCTGTGTTAAGTCTGCCCCAGTCAACTGTAAGTGCTATTATTGTGAAATGGAGGTGCATAAATCATCCATCCTCTGTTGCATCCTCTGTTCCAAACTGCCTCTGGAAGCAACGTCAGCACAAGATCGTCAGGCACTTCATGAAATG